GGAAATAACCAACATTGCTCTGCACCAAAAATAAAAGCAAATAAACAAAAATCTGAAACCTTTCATCTTTCCCAGATTGTCCTTTGAACAAATGACTCAGCCATATGAATTAAGCTGGGCTGGAGATAAGGCTTCCAGAAGACATGTTGGTTTTTCACAGATTAGAAATTTCAAAACCAGACCTGACCTTCCATGTCAGCCTATTTCAGAAGCTCAGACAATCTTATTCTTTCAGAGTGAAGGGCTCTTCTAAGGTCTAAATCACTTCTGTCCAAAATCTTTTGTCTCAGAGTAGTCTTACCCTTTCAGAGAGACCTGAAATACGTTCTTGTAAGCCCCTAAATGATTCTGTTAAGCACCCTAATCAGTCTAAAAAAATCCTTTGCATCAATGTCACTGAGGAGATAGGATAGCTCTTGTAACATCATTAGATGAAAATATATGTGTGTGTGCATGTGCACATGTAGTATAGATGGGGGGGGAGAGAGAGAGAGAGAGAGAGAGAGAGAGAGAGAGGAGAGAGAGAGAGAGAGAGAGAGAGAGAGAGAGAGAGAGAGAGAGAGGGAGAGGGAGGGAGGGAGATCCTTCTTGCCTCTCCTCTTCCCCAACCCATCAAAGCATATAATTTCCTTGAGGGCTGGAACTGTCTCTATAGTCCCAGTACCTAGCAAGTAATAGGTGTTTAATAAATGCTAAATTGAATTTCAGGCCACAAGAAATGAAACATCCTCTATTCCATCATAATGGGGGGGGGGGTGCGTGTATACACAGGGTGTCCCAAAAGTCTTAGTGTAGTTTTAAGCTATTAAAAAAAGAAAACAAAAAAGAAAACAAAAAAACCCCAAAACTAAAACTATACTAAAACTTTTGGGACATTGCATATTTAGCACTGATGTGGGCTGCCTCCAAAGAATTTATTACTAAGTGTGGCTAGTTTTGTGACCCCTGGGGTCTGTCACTTAATCTCTCTCTGCCTCAGTTTCCTAAACCATAAATAGAGGTGCAATACCATCTACCTCATAGGATTGTTCTGAGAATCAAAAGAGATATTTGCAAAGTGCTTAGCACAGTGACTGGAACATAGTAGGTGCTTAATAAAAACCTGTTCCCTTCCACCTAATGAAACTCTATACTTGGCTGGGCTGCTCATCAAATGGCCCCTCCCAGCCCTAAATCTATGGTCCTAAGGTCTGTGACCTAGACCAGATGAGAAGGTTTTCTAGCATGGCATTCTATTGACATACCCTTCAAGAACCCAAGAACTCAAAGTCACCTCCACCCTCCAGTGAAGCACTAAAATAGGCACTCCAGAGGATGAACAGGCCTGGCCTAACTGCATCCCTGGAGGGAGTACCCCATCAGACAACAGACCCATTGGCATCTAAGATTCATATAGCTTTTAAGAGAAGAACCCAGTTTTGTCCACCATCACATTTCTAATGAGCCTCTACTCTGCAAGTTGTGCTATCTCCACAAAAGCAAAGAATATTTTAATTACTTTTTTATTAAGAAAATACTGAGCCATCATGAAGTTTTCGTGGAAAAATGGAATGGAAAAAGCAGGGTCACCCCAGGCACTGACCTAGGACACACTGCTTCACTTTTCTTCAGCTTGCATTTCTTCATCTTTAAAATAAAAGGTTTGCACTGGATGGCCAATGAGGTCCCTTTCAGCTCTAGACCTATGGACCAATAATTGTTATGAGCCCTAGAGCTATATCTAGGGCAGCTCGGTGGCTCAGTAAATAGAACACCAAGCCTGGGGTCAAAAAGACTCCTACTCCTGAATTCAAATCTGATCTCAGACACTTACTAGCTATGTGACCTTGGCCAAGTCACTTAACCCTGTTTGTCTCAGTTTCCTCATCTGTGAAATGAGCTGGAGAAAGAAGTGGCAAACCACTCCAGTATTTTTGCCAAGAAAATGCTAAGCAGGGTCGCAAAGAGTCAGATATGACTGAAACGACTGGACAGCGACAACATAGAGCTGTACTTAAGATGACGCTAAATTCTGTACCATTCCAAAAAAGCAGCTCACATTTCTATACCACTTGATTCACATCAGCCTCGTGGGAGTGTGAATAGTATATGTTTATCCCCATTGAATAGATTAGGAAAACTAGGCTAGGAGATTCAACAGCCTGCCAAAAGTTGGTTATGTTACTACTAACGTGTAAGGAGAAATGAGACAATGTTTCAAGGTAGGTCAGAAAAGACATCAGAAGCCAATCTAGTCAAAATGCCCTCATTTTACAGATGAGGAAGCTGAGGTTCAGAGAGAAGGAACTAGCCCAGGGTCTTCTGACTTGAAATCTGCTGCTCAAATCCTTGCACCACACTTCTTCCCTTGCTAGTAAGAAAATGCCATGAGGCCTCATTGAGTGAGTTTTCACTACTTTTTGAGAAGAGAAATGGAATTGTCCTGTCATGTAACACCTGCATGACTTTGAATAAGTCACTTACCTTCTTGGGTCTCAGTTTCCTCATCTGTCAAATAAAGGCATTGAACTAGATGACCTCTAAAGTCTCTTCTAAGCTCTAAATCTTTTACCTACATTGTCAGAGAAAGATCTGATATCTATTAAAAGAAATTAGAAAAATGCCCAATAATCTTTACTCTTTCTCAGTGGAGGGGAACAAACTATTCATTATTTCCTTCTTTGCTGTAATTTATGTGCTTTAAAAAACAGGCAATGTTGCAAGGGTGTGAAGGGGGAGAGTCCCTGTCCTGCCTTATCCCTAATAGTATTTTGATGGCTCTGAAAAATTCTCCAAGGGAAAAACATTCAAAGAAATGTCTTGAAATGTCTATTTGCCCTACTCTCATCCAGTCAGGTGTGTCATCAAAAGATTATTTGGCATCAGGGAATACAATTTCCCCAGGGCTAGGGCATGGTGGGTTTACAAGCAATGTTCCCCATCAGAAAAATTGGCCAGAGCTTAGACATCACATGAAACTGCCTACAGGAAACCAGCATATCACCTCCACACCAGGAAGAAGCATCAGGAGATGGCTTTGCCTGGGATGAAATAAAAATACTTATTATCAGAAATGTATGTCCCACTTCCGATACATCTGGGCTGTGCCACCCTGGGAAGTCACCCTCCCTCTCAGTCCTCCAGGCAACTCTCTCTAAGACTCAACTGCAAAGACAGGTTCTTCCTGAAGGTGTTCCCACCTATGACACCACTAGTCCAGTCTCTATCACTACTTCTGGAAATATACTAACATATGTGTGTGTGTGTGTGTGTGTGTGTGTGTGTGTGTGTGTGTGTATGTGTGTGAGAGAGAGAAGAGAAAGAAGAGAGAGAGGAAGAAAGAGAGAGAGAGAGAGAGAGAGAGAGAGAGAGAGAGAGACAGAGAGAGAGACAGAGAGAGAGAGAGAGAGAGAGAGAGAGAGAGAGAGAGAGAGAGAGAGAGAGAGAGAGAGAGAGAGAGAGAAACACCTAAGAGATCCCCTAGTCCAGGAATTCTTAATTCAAGATCCATAAACTTGTTTTTGTTTTAATATACATTGATGATTGTCAATATAATTAGGTTCCTTTGCATTTCTATATATTTTATTTCATGTATTTATGAGGGGTTCATAGGGTTCACCGAACTGCCAAAAGGGTCCATGACACCAAAAACATTAAGAACTCTGGCAAAGTCTAACTCTTTCATTTTAAATAAGACAACTGAGCCCCAAGAAAGTGAAGAGACTTGTCCAAGGTCACACAAATATTGGCAGAGCCAGGACTAGAACCTTGGGTAACCAGACTCTGAGATGGTGTTCTTTGTGCTATGGCTTGTTGCCAATAGGGTGGTCATTTTCAAACGTCAATGTTTTCCCCTGATTTTATCATGGACCAATGTAACTAAATGCAGAAAAGCTTATGGCTAGAGAAGCTAGCCACTAAGTGATGGGTTCTTTGGCCTTGGAAATCTACAAAACAAAGGAAATTTCAAAATGGCCCCTTGGACACCACATGTACTGGATATGTCTGCAATGGCGAGGCCAGAGTGATAGAAGAGGAGGCAGTTGATGAAAAGAATCCCTTTCGAGACCCTTTATAAAAGCATTCACTTAATAGTGAGTATTCCAAATGTGAGATCCCCAGTTCTTAGATTTTAAGATGGAGAAAGTTCTCAGAGGTCATTTTACAGATAAAGAAACTGAGGTCTAGAAAGGTTCAATGACTTGCCCAGGTTCACACAGCTGACAAGTGCCTGAGGTGGGATTCAAATCCAGGTATTCTTACTCTAAGCCTGGCACTCTATCCATTATAACATACTTCCTCATATAATTGTCCAGTGACCAACTAGCCACATTGGCCATGGTATCCCAGTTCAAAGAATCACAATACATATAATCCACACTTGAAAAATAATCCCCTTTATACCATCCCCAATGAGTGTTCATTTGCCTTTCTTTGAAGACCTCCTCTGAGGGGAAACTCGCTAACTCTCTAGGCAGCCCATACCACTTTTCAATCACTCTAATTGTTTGGAAGTTTTCCCTTATATCAAGCCTAAATTTTCTTCGTTATACCTTCCCCCTATTCTTCTTAGTTGTGTCCTCTGGGGCCAGGAAGAATAAATTGAATCCTTTTTTCATGTGAGACCAACTTTAAGAAAACTATCCTATCCCTGTAAGCCTTCTCTTCTCAGTCAAAAGATCCCCAGTTCATTCAACAAATCTTCAAGGCCCTTCACCATTTTGATTGTTCTCTTCTGGATAGTCTCCAACTTGTCCACACCCTCCCTAAAATAAAGTGCTCAGAATTACATTAAAACTATCTCCCAGGGGCAGCTAGGTGGCGCAGTGGATAGAGTACCACCCTTGGAGCCAGGAGGACCTGAGTCCAAATCTGACCTCAGACACATAGCACTTACCAGCTGTGTGATTCTGGGCAAGTCACTTAATCCCAATTGCCTCACCAAAAAAAAAAAAAGTAAGAGGATTTTCACACAATGATGGCTATTAAAAAATAGATGAAGAGGAAAATATCAACACTTATACAGTTCAACAAGAATTATATTTGTTTCCATTTCAACAAATTCATACAAGTGCTTAAAAATCTCTTTTAATTACGTTTTCATGAATTCCATGAATATCATTGTATTTCATGTTACCAAAAAAAAAAGAGGTATCTTGAACATACAATCAGAAATGTGTTCACAGTGAAAGCAAAGCATATTGGTATTAAAAAATATAGCCAAGTTATAGATCCATAACGGGAAGCCATTTCTAATGACCAGTTCATTTGGCCTTCAATATTATTGAGAAAATCTTTTTTGACATGTTGGGAATTGTTATGCTATCTTTTATTATTATTATTATTATTTCTCTTACAGTATAATTCAAGCCCCCCCTTTCCCTGTAAAGTTAGTACTTCCAATCAACCAATTAGTCTGAAAATTACAAAGTACAGCAAATGTCTTTGTGATTGAGTTCGTCACATACAAAGCCTGTAGCAAAAATATGTAACAAAATTTATGCAAAACAAATATTTTCCTATCCTTATGTACAGAATATCTTCATTCTCTTTCCCTTCCCCCCTCCTCATTCCTACTCCAAAACAGATGGAAAAAGAAAAACAAAAGAAAACACAAAAACCAGTCACTAGTTTGTGGGAACTCTCCCACCCTGAATCAGGGTAAGTGAAAATCTAACCAAGGTAAGATAGTTGGCTTTCCTCCTTTACCTCAGATGCTAAATTACAACATTCATAGAAATCAAAAGAGGTATCTGTCCTCCTCAACAAACGTGAAAAGTAAAATAAAATTAGGAGAGCTGAAAAAAAATTTTAAAGAAAGACAGTAGATTTTTTTTTCAGACTTTTGCCTGAACACCTCCACAGTTTGGGGTCGAGGAAGCAGACAAGGAATTACATTGGTTGCTCGATTCTGAAGGCGTGCACAGAGGGAGAAACATTTAGTTACAAATGCACATGGGTTATGAATCTGGCCCATGTGGAACTTTCACATTGATGGCAGGCATGCATCTATTCCAAGACTGATACATTTTTACAACATTGAAAAAAGACTCAGGCAACCTTGGGAAAATAACACAGCATCTATTTACATAATTGTCCACAGGAGGACCATCTTCAATCAAAGGAGACCTGTACTGGAACTCAAAAAATCCTCTTCTCAATCATGCTGGAGCCAAGGATAGCACAACAAAAACAAGCAATATCTGGAGCTCTACGGGATACCTTGTTCACACTGAAAAGACAGGTCTACACCATTTATAGTCTCAAGAGGAAATAAATTTCTGGTTTGTCCTCTACACTTGGCTCAGTCTGGAGGACTGAGTCATCCATACAAAACGGGTCTACGTAGCCACTGAAAAGAGAAGTGCATGCCCCCTCGGGAATACCACGGCCTTCAAGGTCATTCAGATACCCTGCGATGTAGGATCCAGTGGAATGCCTGTTCACCACCTGGGCAGAGGCAGTGGGCTTGTTTCTCAGGACCACTCCTCCAACACTGCTGGAGGGCAGAGCCCTCTGCTTGCCGGCTTCTTGTCTTTCCTTGGCACGGCTGGCAATGTTGCGAACACGGCTCTGGCTTCGGGAGGACAGCTTTCGGACCAACGCCTTGGGGCATTCCCTCTCGTCCGGCCTTGGGCCCAGCACTTGGCTGCTGTCCTCCTGGTCAAAGGACACGAGTTTCCGGAGCTGTTCAGTCAGAGCATCCACAGACTCCACCCCTTTTGCTTTGAAGGTCATGCCCTTCTTTTCTCGTAGTCCGGCTGTAATGAAGCTTTTACTTATGCACTGGTATTTGCTCTCAAAATTGCAAGAGATATCATCCGACGTCAGATCTCCCAGGCTTTTGGATTTGCAAGGGCTAGGCTGTTTCCGAGCTTGTAAAGAAGGATGTGCAGGTTGCTGCAGACCTTGAGGATTAGGCCCCAGGGGTAGACATGCTGCATTGTTTGGGGGATTTGAACATTGGAAATAATTATTACATACAAAGCCAGCACTCTGATAAGCCGGACAAGAAATGCTTCGGTTTTTTAGCATTTGAATGTGGTTGGAAAGTTTGAGGGTAGAGGGATGTAGGAAGCCATTTCCAGAGCTTCTTGGACAGGGTGAATCCATCTCCCAACAGTGCTTTAGTTTCAAAGGGGAAGCAAGTTGACTCATATCCTCTCTCTTATATTCATGGGTTGTTACCAAGAGATCTTGTGAATCTTCATTAACTTCTACTAGACTGCTCTCTCCAGAATTTTGACAAAGGGTGTGATCAATTATATCATCTATTGTCAAATCATTAGAAGTGGAGATACCACAAATGGCACCATTTTCCCAACCCCTTCCACAATTCTTCTGGGGACTTTTAGTTAACGGAGATGGACGAGCAATGCCACTTTCTGAGGCATGGAACTTGGTCTTGCCATTACCTTCATCCATGAACTTGGGCCCAGTGACTGGAGTGAGAGCTGCCTCATGAATGATGGTGTAAGTGGAATACTCCGTTGTCTCAGGGCTAGAGCGGACAGTTGTCTCGGGTGATGAATACTGAGATGACCACAGAGGCTTTGACTTAGAAAAGTTATTTTTGAGGGGTATTTTTAGGTCAGTAGTGAGCAAGGAGGGATGTCTTGACATTACACTGTAAGTCTGACCACTGGTACCTTGAAGTCTTGAAACAGCTCTGAGGTTTGTGTGATCCTTGGTAGCATCAAACTGGCTGATCAGTGCTGAGATTGAACTGCCAAGTTCACTCTCATTTGTTAATGTGACATTGTCAATAAGTTGTGAAATTTCACAGTCCTGCATAATTGCAGTGGAATGTAAGTCATGCCCATCAGAGCAAATGGCAGAAACATCTGTCAAAGAAAAGGATGTCATAACATTGCTTGCCACTCGATTGACTTCCTTAACGTTAAGAACCTCCAGCTCACTCTGAGAAGAGGCATTTCCTAACAATGTTCTTTTTGTTTCTGAAGGAAAAGTCTTCCCATTTTCCCTTGTTCCTATATCATTTATAGTACAGCATTGGTCCCTGGAAGTTTTAATACCCATTTGTTGTCTTGATGAAACGAGTTTTTTGGGAGACAGATTTTTCTGAAGGTCAATGGGCACATGTAATTGGGCTTTCCCACCACGATAGTTTAGGGCTCCTGACTCTTCTTCTAAGGGTGATGCATTATTAACAAGAGAGACAACAGGATCCACCTGGCTACCATTTTTGTGGAGAGTTGCAGAGGGTGAAGAAAGCTTTTTATCAAGATTTGTTGAGCTTTGCTCTTTCGCATTGGATTTTCCACTTTCTGTATTGGCCTTATTTTCTGCCAAATGAAACAAACAATAAGTTAGTCACCCAGGACATCTCCCATCATACCTGGAAACATCAATTTTTTTTTTGTCTTTAGACAGACAAATGGAGAATGTAGAATTAGTTAAAACTGTGACAATTTACTTATGGAACTGTGCGAATATCTATGTAATGAATAAATGGTAAAGATAGATTGGCAGGCACGCCATCGCAACTTTGCATTTCACGTCTATTACATCAACACATGATGTAATAATGCTGGTTGTAAGTCAATGTCAATGAGGTACCATACTTGCACATTTAGGATTACCTGCGGCTGCTTCCTATTCAGATTTGTACTATACAGAAGCATGGTAATAAAAACAGAACAAGACAGCTCTGTTAAACAACACATCATTACATCCGCAGACAGAAGATGCTTTTATAAGATCTCAAAGATATACACTGATTAACTAAAAACAACACATATTATCATTTGGTTGAAAAAGGTACCTTTTCCTATAAAGATCTAACTTAACTGATGCTTTTAAAAATCCATATGGGCAGATTCCATAAATTCATTTTTACATTTCTGCATTAAAACACAAACACACACACACACACACACACACACACACACACACACACACACACACACATATATATGAACACAGAGAGGGGAATGGTCTTTTTTCTTCCTTTGCTAAAACCTCTGTTGTTTCTTGAATATTTAAAATGCACAAATCACATTTGGAATTGCATTTTTAATAATGTCCAGAAGTTAGAGACATACAGGAAAATGTAAAGCCATATATTGCCTTTCCATCCTTTTAAGCATCCTTAGAACTTATCTAGCATAGAGCTATTCATACAGAGGGAGCTCAATAGCTATTTATTGATTGAGATCTTTCCTAAAAGCACCAAAACATTTTTAATATTTTTGGAATCATGATAAAAAAGGATGATAAATAGGACATGACTGTTGATTCTCTTTTCTTTCTTCATAAAAATGCTTTCTCATAACAAACAGCAGGAATATGACATTTAAGAAGCAAAATACCACTGCAAGTTTTCATCTGCAGTTAAACTGTCTCCCATAATGAAGAAAAAGCAAAACATGTCACATAGCAATAACCTAAAAGTGAAAAGTCTTCCAACAGGCTTCGTCATTTGATAATTCAGGAAGCCTGGGATTCATATTGTCATTTTAAGAAGAGAATGAAAAGAGCATTTTTCATAAAAAAGGTCCCTAATCTGGAAAAAAGCATTAATATTGCTAAGCTGGAAACTAATCCAGAGCTCACCTTTCTGTGGCTTTCTCTCCAAAATTCCTGATTAAGTTATATGCAATTTTATTATGTTGCAGCGTATCTTACATCATATCATGTATTATATATTATATCATATCATGTTGTAATTATATGTCTTAGTAAAGCATTTCTTATATTTAAAACATTTTCCCTTAGAAAATGATTTTAAGGGCTCCTATTTCTCCTTAAAATGACTCACATCCAAAATCAATACAGAAGCACATTTGTGACAAAGTATGTAATTGAGGGTGGTCTGAACACTTGAGGGAAAAATGTTTCTGAGGAATCAGGCTTCAGATTGCACATTTCAACAGCAGGGCTAAAAAAGGACACCTAGAAAATGACCATAAGCTACAGTTGCTCTAGAGACAACAAGGGGAGTAGTTGAGGATTATCTAGAACAGAGACCCCTGACAGCTGGAATTTGGAGTTCAACTTGGTCCTTGGTAAAGTGGAAATTGTTGGTATTGCTCCATTCTCCACAAACATGTGCTGAGAAGTGGCCTGGAAGAACAGACTCCATTTATAACTCTCTTTCCAGCCCTATGGCTCTTTCTTCTATATTTGAAATATCCCAAGGCTACTTGGGCTCTTCCTAGACCTTTCAAGTCCCTTTCTTTGCTGCCCCTGAAGCCCCCACTCATAGACACTACTGGTCTCAGGATTTTAGGTAAACAGAAATTGACCCATCTCCACAAAAACATAGGGGACCTCTAAACTAGCACATAAACTTGTTTAAAGCCTTTTACTTTTGACCATATACTGCTAGGACTTTAGAACAACATTGGGAACTCAACAATCACTTTGGCACAACAAAAAACCCAGTTTTAAAGTGTATTCCTGACTAACCAAAATCCCAAACCAATGAAAACTCTCCAAGAATCTTACCAAGTGCATTTTCTTTGCCTTCAGTTTCTTTGGCTGATTCAAGCGTGGGGAGGGACAATCCCCCCAGAAGACTTTTCTCAACAGGCATAGAAACTGGGCGAGCTTGTAAACTTCTTGTGGTTCTTCGGAGAACACCATCTTTCTCTCTTGAGCCAGTTACCTCAGACACACTGTCCTTCATTTCCATCATTTCTTGGAAACCCATTTTGCTCTTCTTTCGGCCCTTTGCTGGAGCACTAGCTGTGCGGCGCAGAATCCGATCACCAATGGATCGCTTACGGACATAATGGGAATTGTTTTCTGAAGAACTGTGTTTGGGGTTCTTATTGAACAGGCCCCTCAGGCCTATCAGTTGTCTATTCTGCAGATATAAAGGAGACAATCCAAACATTTAAGGCATATGACATAGGGCAACAACTTGTCCATCAAGGAGCTGCACTATAAAAGATGGAGCCAAAAAGAAATTTCACAACCACTGGAGCAAACTCATGAGCAAGGAAGACAAATACTAGCCACAGCAGCCCAGCACACAGTCATGCACATGTTACTGGCTCCTCCCAATGATGACAGCTGTCTACTTCTACAGCAATGCCCTCCCAGGAGCTTCCACAGCAAAAATGGCAGCTGGTCTAAGAAGAGCTTCCCATTTCCAAGCCCCTAATGGGTTCTTGGGGAAATAGCCCCCTTTCAAAGCAACAGCCCAATGTTTCACAATTGGAAAGGAGAAATAGAAGGAAGTGGTACACTAGCTCATGCTGGCTGCTTTGATGTCATTCACAAAGTTGTGCCCCCGCGAGTGAGAGCCACATGTCATGCTAACAAAGACTACCTTCGTAGCTCCTAGAAAATGCAATATGGTATAACTGGGATTGAGGATTAAAGGGCTCCACTGCAGGGGGGAAAAAAAGAAACACAAACATTTTTTGGCTAATTTATCCAAGAAAGCGTCACAAGAAGAACAAAAATATATGTCATGGACAAGTGTTTCTCCTAAATAGTGTTTGTAATTTAGCCATATTGCATTCATTTTCGTTTTCATGTGAAACTTCATATCAGCACATTGTATAATACACATTCTCACTGAAACATCATTCAAGTCACAGCATGTCTCCAATCATACTTATATTACTCAACAAAATGAATACATAGTATTTTGGAAAAGGAATGGAAAGTCAGTGGGAGTACTCTCTCTCTCTCTGACTCAAACATGAATTATTAAATTTCTATTTGGGGTTTTTTTCCCCATCCATGACAAAGGGCAATGACATCCATATGGCCAACCTAGAATCCCAGAATATCCTGAGATTTACTATCAAGTAGTTTCATGAAACTTAGTATTTATGTTATTTCAACATGAAGAAAAAGAAGTAATTTATCCAGGGAACTAGGACAGCAAAGAAAAGAAGCACTGGTCATAGAAAGGAAGCTCATTTCTTCAGATTTCTCAATTATTTCCTAGAGTTTGAAGCAAATACTGCCTTACTAGCATCGTACTGGGATGGAGACACCAACTATTTTGGAGACAAAATTGCAATGAATAAGTCAATGCTCAAAAACTCATTCATAACCAAGCAAATATTAGATGGTTAAAAAAAAAGTTTCATCAGTGCCAAGCTGCATCGTAGCCTACCTGGAGTTCCTTTTAATCAAATCCTTCCTAGAATTCGAATGTGGTTGGGGGAAAAGATCCTAGAATCAAATCCTCATTTTACTCTCACTTGGAATGATCTCTAACAAACTAAGCTTTTAGAATAGCTTGCGAACTACAGGGAAGAAAGCTTCTATAGAGATGAATATCATCGCCCATGGCATTTGCTCTTCCATTCCATTTCAACTTCCCAAAGGTCTTTCCAGCCCTTCCTTTATTTAGCTATTAGAGAGAAGTGATAGCTTGGCACAGGTCCTCTCTGAATGGATTGAGACTGTAACCAAAGGCTGCACAATTCCATGGGCCCAAATCTATGCTCGCTGTTGCTATGTTTGTTTAGGTTTTTAAGGGCTAAAAGAAAACTCAAATGAATTAACCACAGTGCCAGTTCAAATAGAAAATGAGGATCCAGCTGAAAACATACTTTTCCTGGGGATATATTAAGTTCTAGAGCACAGGGTGACTTTATAGCATTGGGCATAATAATATTTACATATGTATATATCATAATAATTTAAAAGAACTTTCATGCAGAATATCTGATTTGATTTTCCCAGTGACTCTGCGAAGTAGGTAGACTAGTTTATTCCTATTTAATGGATGAATAAACTGTTTCTCAGAGAGACTTGCTTAAGAATATGTGGTTAATAAGTGGGAAAATAGTGGCTAAAACCAATGACTTCCTCTTCCTATTTCAATGTTACTCCCACCACATCATGGTACCTTTTCTTTTTGCATAACACTGATCTACTACAGTTCGTGAACTGGTACCACGATATGAGACCCAATTTTCTTGGCTTCCCATGGAATTTTCCATTTACTTCACCTGGGTTTTACTCAGCTGCTCCCCTATGACTGTCATCTATTTTTGCCCTGCCTTACAGAATCTTTGGCTTCTCTCAAGCATAGCTTAGGCACCATCTCCTACATGAGGCCTTTTCCTGATGCCCCAAGTTATTAATGCTCTCTTCTTGAAATTACTTTGTATAACTATATATTTCATATTTAATTTTGCACACACATTGCTTTCCCCCATAGAGTGTAAGTTCTTTAACAGAAGGGACCTTGTTTTGTTTTTGGCACCTAGCACAGTGCCTCGAACTAGTGGGACTTTATGTGTATTTTGTTGAACTGAACAGAATTTTAGGTGTGTTGACACGCTATTCTCATTAACTCATTCTGGAAAGCATCTGGGATGACAACAGTGTCTTCACAAGGGTAATTAGTGCCAATACCATAAAGATTTCAAAGTCTCACACTGACACCTACCTTGCCATATATTTCATTGATTGTTATATGAACAAATATGGATGCTTCTGTCAGCCCTTCCAAATAGACATGACGGTAGCCTGATAAAAGAACAGAAAGTTTTGTCATTGTGACTCTATGTATTTTGCTCCTCTTTATACATAACATGCTTCATTAGCAATATTTTATATTGAGGACCAATCAGTTTAGATACCCCGAGTGGGGCTGTACTGACCAGGCACAAGGCTACTGAAAGTCACCGTTCTTTGTCCAACGAAGTCTCTTCCAATGGGATCATGATCCCAAACAAGAAACCGAACCAAAGCTATGTCTGGCATGTGTATGGTAAACGTCAGCGTCTCTTCCCAAACAGGGTTAAATCCTCAGGGAAACACAAGACAGGAGAGAACATCAGAAGGCCAAAATATTTGACTGAAAGTACATTGACAAAAATATCAGGACATAAATGATGGAAATTATTCATGAGGTAATAATCCTATGAAATCTTCAACCATCTAAAGGAAATCTAGACCCTTCTCCAGCCATTGACAAGAGAATGGACCCTCTCTCATGCCCTCAATTCCCTGCTCATGTCTAGCACTGGCTTGTACAGTAGAGAAAATGCTTTGTATTGTCCAATGAACTCAAGTTCTCAAAGGATGTGAAACAAAGACTTGTCTTGAGTAGACCACAAAGAATCCCAGACAACTGTCTCAAAGGAAATACTAAAGAATCCCTGTAAGCCCTAATGCTCCTAAAGCTTTGGTCTCTCTCTGTGACCAAAGACATATGAAGTGACACCTCCAAAAAAACCCTCAAAAGCCAATTTTCCAGGTTCTTCAAATCTCTCATGGAAAATGCCCATGATCAGAAACAAAGACTGAAAGCATGCAATGAATCCATTTATGAGCATCATTATTTAGTATACCATGAAGTCAAGATATGTAATGGCAAAGAAAAATAGAGCTACATGCACTCAAAAGTCATATGAATCTCTAAATTTCTAAAAATCAAAAAGTATAACAAAAAGATTTTTTTATGTGTATCTCTTGATTTTAGTATATAAACTGCAAACTTGGAAAGGTTTATCTATCTACACTAATATTCTCTAGAAAGAAAAGCTGGACCCTGAATTTTACAGAACCCCAGAATTAGAGAGTTGAAAGGGACCCCCATGAAATCATCCAAGCGCAAAAAGAATTTTCTCTATGGCATATGCAAGTGGTCACTGAGGCTTCATTGAGGTAATGAGACATTGAAATTTTCTGGGTTGATTTGAATTTAACTAAAACATAAAGTCTTAGTAAAATCAGTTGCCATTTTTAGGTTGTAATATAGGGAAAAGAAAGCTAACTCTTGGTGGTTTCACCAAGATATAAATAACTATTTAGTCTTTTCATTCTTAACTCTTCCAGAATGCATTTGAGCATCTGCCTTCCATCTTGAACTAATCACTAACCCGATGGAATGGTGTCCAAGTGGTAAATTGAAAGTTACTAAGGTGACAGGACTAACCAAGGAGAAAGGAGGTGTCTCAAAGCCGTGATTATCTCTGTTTGGCCTAGTGAAAATCTACCAAGCAATTCTGCTGAAGCTGAAAAGGAAGGGGAATGGGATTTGCCTCGTTGTAAAAGAACACAAGAAGGCAAATGTGTTACTTTTAAATACGATGTTTCCATCAGTCATGAGCTCTAATGTACCTTCTTGAGTTCTCAAGTTCTTTTTCTTCAAGTAACCAGCAGACAAAACAGAAGCAAAACAAAAAAAAAATCACGGCTCTCTTTTAACCCCAAATCTATAAGTGTCTTGAGAGGTTATTAAAACTGATTGATAAGATGTGATGTGGTGTAAAAATGGACTCATCTTGGCTGTGTGACCCTGGGTAAGTCACTTGAGTCCTCTATGTCCCAGGCAGCTTGTATAAGACCAATAGCGGCAGTAAAGGTACTAGATCTGCATTGGTAGAGGGAACTCCTCACTAGGAACTTCCTATATCAATGAAATCACAGATCTGGCCCTAGATCTATCAATAGGTGGATAGATAGATAAATAATTGACATCTATTAATCCAAATCCATAGATGGTTGATACACAGATGTATAGATAATTGACAGGTGATAGATAATGCATAAGTGATGATAGATAAAGGGTAGATAATTGATACATAGACAAAAGATTGTTTGATGATAGGTAATACAAAGATAGATGATAGATGAATGGGTGAATAAATTATATCTATCAATCAATATCTATAGATGGTTGCTACATAGATGGATAATAGACAGATGTAGACAATACATAGATGATGATGATAGATAGATGACTGATAGATAATAGATAAGTTATATATAAATGATAGATGTGGATGGATGGACAGATTGATGATAGGCAGATAAACAACCTAAGTATACCTATACATGAACGAATAAATGAATGACTAGACAGGTAAATGAAAGAATGAGTGAATACAAACATTCACATAGCACTTTAAAGTTTATCAAGTATCTTACATAGGTTATTTCATTTGAACCTCACAACAGCTCTTTGAAGTAGATGCTGTAATTATCTCCATTTTACAGATCATGAAACTGAGTCTGAGAAATGGTCAATGACTTGCCCAGTTAAGTATCTGAGGCAGGATTCAATCTCAGGTGCTCCTGACTCTAAGTACATTACTGTATTCACTGCAGCACCCAGCTGGTCTAAAATACCATATTCACAAGGCTAATATGTGAAAGGTGAGAAGAACAGCAGTACAGGGAAAGGAATGGCAGAATGCCTTGAGCAATATGTCAGAAAAAGTGGGTCTTCAACTGTCCACACGTGTTCATGAAGTGTGCTTTGCCTGGTTGGGCAGGCTATGTCAACCATTGGTATTTCAGGTGACCAAGGGAAGGAGCACTTTCCAGGCCCTTTGGAGCTATCAGGGATTAGTGACACAGGGAAGCCTCTGGCACAATACAGGAAATAAAAGATATGGTGCCCAAGATACCTCTCACTAAACCTCTCCACTGGCAAAATTCTGAAGAGCCACAGTGCCATCCAACTAGTCAGATTTGCTAAGCCAATTTCCACCACTAAAACAGAGATGGCAGAAATGCATAGTCCTCAATGCTTTTTTTTGCCCAAACAGAAACAATTTTCTCTTCCAGCTTAGCCCTATTTGTGAACACCTTGCTTCCAACCCATAAAAGCTGAGCCTCTTACCATTGTCATCCACCACTCGAGTTTGTTCTTTGCAACAATCTATGGGAAGCCCAATGATTTCCACTTCAACAAATGGGTCAATGATCTATTTAAACAAAGAGAACACCACATTGTTTATCGTTGGTAAAGACACAGAGACTTCTAAATTGTTTGCTAGTGTTGGGGCATCTGAAAAAATGTGGCCAGGAAGCTGGAAATCAGATGCCTCAGGACATGAGGGTTCACAGGGCATAAGGCGGCTGCATTGCCTTTCAGTTCTGAAACTCAGAATTTCTAAAGGGCCAACACAAATAGGAGTTCTACCACTTGGGCTCCTTCCCATTGTTTTTTGGCAAGGCGCAGACATTCATATTCATATTCACACACACACACACACACACACATACTGTTCATCCTTCCAGCTGCTAATGGTATCTGCTCTCAGGTTACCTTCCATCTATCCTATAAGTATCTAGTCTCTACCCATTTGTGTTCATGTCATGTCTCCCAGTAGAATGTAAACTCCTCAAGGACAAGGAACCATTTGCTTTGCATTTCTGGTACTTAGCATAATGCCTGGCATACAGCAAATACTTAATAGATGATTGCTTACTAAGCATCATCCTAAATTGAGAATTCTTTTTAAAACACAGGGACAATTCCAATGTAATTTAAACTCGATAAAAATTGTCGTTACTTTACTGTATACTTTACCTCACCACGGTCTCCTAGCATGGAGTCTGGTGGTTTTGGGAGCTGCTGGCCGCTAATCACTTTCAGAATGAGCTGTTTTTTAGGGTTGGCGGGCAGTGGATCGCCACAGAAAGGGTTGAATGTACCTATATGTTTATGGCAAGGAAGCAGATTTTAAAAACTCAAGTTAGTGTCACGGCAATGTCAGTCAGTTCAAGCCGCCTGTGTCCTGCAGCAGTTCAGACAGAGGCAGCAGATGACATGCAGAGGTACCACTGTTAGTTCCTTCAGAGTCATTATCATGTAACTATTCTTCAGGCTCACTCTGTGCCAGCTGGCCTGCGTGCCCTTAGTTTTTGCTTTTGTTTTTGTTTTTTTTTCCATTAAGCTAAGTGCCTAAAGGGCAGGACAATGGATTCATTCTAAATATGCCTCCCCAATTTAATCATCAAAAATGCAACTGTAAACATTGCTTGAAAAAAGAAAGATAAATTGGATTTTAGTATTTAAGCATTGAACCAAGTGAGGGAAGTGATTTTTTAAATTGAGAAAAAGTCACCCTTTTCTAACCTAGATATAATAGGAACAGATAAGCAAAATTCATTTTCAGAGTTGTTTCCCTACACCAACAGAAATCTGATCTGGAAACGACAAAAGGAGCTTCAATGAGTTGGACCCCAAATACCAGTGTTATAACCTCGAGTCTGTATCCACAACATATTTCTCACTTTTATTAGGACTGTCAAATATTGGCATCTGTGGGGCTAAGCTAGCTCACCAACATTCTGATCTTCTCATTTTTAGCACTCTGGTGAGAGTTTCATAGTAATCCCCTGGTTCCCAAGAGAGACGTCAGGGCTCTAAGTGTCAATTTCCCAATAACATATACTAAAGGTCAGGTCAAGACAATGACTTTTCAGACTTTGGGCCACTCTCTGTAGCTACATTCATTGTTTAACATGGCAAACGTTCCCTCATGCTAAACTAATGCTAAGTAATCATCATGAGAGTCACAGCCTCTAACACAAGGGCTCTTAACCGTTTTGTTACCTGGACCCCTCTTTCAGTCTGGTGAATGTTTTTAAATGCATAAAATAAAATACAAAATAATAAATAAAATAACAAAGGAAGCCAAAGATAAGTGAAAATAAAGATGCAACTTTTTCTAATTCGAGTTCATTGGCCCTCCCTCCACCCTTGAAATATATCCCTGGGGGATCCATGAACCTCTGGGTAAATATCCTCGCTACAATCTTATCACCTAATATCCAATTATAGAAGGATGGGTCAAGTTCTTTCAAAAGACTGATTCATTTCTCCCTTTGTATTTCAAGTGCCTGGTGCAGGGCTTCATACACTTAATCAGTTAATAAATTGAATCAAATGGGAAACAGAGGCAAACCTTTACACATCTGCTGGGGTTTGAGGACATAGCCACAGTTGCCGTTCATCTTGAATTTGGCCCGATTCAGCTGCATCATGCGCCCCTCGGATTGGTAGTTCAGTGCAACTGTATGATTTGAAAGTTGAGGAATTAGAGAAGAGGCCAACATGAATTAGCATCCTGGAGAACTGTTTTCCTTCAGGGGAAAGGAGAAGCACACACCTAGCTGGCAGCCAGCATTCCAATATGGCAGCGGGTTGAAGTTACTGGAGTCAATCCTGTAGGCAGACGGGTAGATCCTGGTCAGCTGCTTCTGGTTATAAATCATGAACTGCTCTGACTTTTGTTGGACCACCTGATGGGCTCTCGTTTCACTGAAGGATAACACATTTCCTGTTGTCCCTGTTTTGTTTTGTTTTTTTTTAATGGAAAAGGAAATAGGGAAACCATGTCAAGAGAATGATACCATTTAGAACATGAACATTTTATTTTAGAATTTATACCTTATTTCAATGCTACAAGAATCTATTATTTCATCAGTATGGATATTCCCTCTGCTATGGCAAAATACTTCTTTTCTCATATACGATATCTCATCTCCCACCTCCAAGCCTTTGTACAAGCTGTCCCTTATGCCTGGCATGCCCTCACTTCTCACCTCTACATTTGAGTCCCTAGCTTCCTTCAAGGCTGAGCTCAGGTCATCCTACATAAGACCTTTTCTGATTTCTGGTTGTAGTTTCTCATCCCCTCCCGATTACTGTGTATGTGTGTATGTATAATGTGTACTTCGCATGTATTTTCTATTTACATATCTGCGACCTTATTATTTCTTGATCAATCGAATATGAGTTCCTTGAAGTCAGAGACTGCTTCATTTTTCTTCTCATTGTGACCCTAATACCTGATACAGTATCTAATTTGCTGGTTTGTAATACATGGTTGTCCAGATGACTGGTAGGTTACAACCTTAGTACATGGTCTTCATGAGAAACAGCTTTCTGCAGCACACAGTGTCCACTAAGGTCACCAGGAGTAAGTAAAATGAACTAAGCGGTGAATACAGATCTGCTTTTCTGCATTTTTGAAACATCCTATAGACCTCAAACCCTCTGAAGAATGCTCAGACTTGCCAGTTTTAATGAGCAGTAGCCTGAGCATGCTGGGATCAGATTTACATAACCTCTAAGGAGCCAAACTGAGGGATTTTTAAGTGACCGTGTGGCGCTCGCTCTCTCTCTCTCTCTCTCTCTCTCTCTCTCTCTCTCTCTCTCTTCTCTCTCTCTCTCTCTCTGTCTTTCCTATCCTCTTACAGAAATGCATATGAATTAGTCTACCAATAGAGCTGAGCCACATCTGTGCGTAAAATACAGCACATTTTAATTATCCCTTGCCCATTTTCTTGTGCAATAAAAACAGATGAAGTTCAAAAGCAGAACAGTGCCCAGCATTACTTTCCATTAGACCTAATAGGATTAGGTTTCATATAGCATTTAGTGGAAATGATATTTCCAGACACACACACACAAACACACTTTTTGGTATATTTAAGACAGTTCCTGAGCTTGTTTTGGGGAGCATTATTAGACTGTTGTTCTCTTGCTAAGTTGTCACAATTTCATCACAATGAAAAGGACAAAATCAGCACCAAAGGGAAGAAATCCTATGGGATATGGCTGGAGGAGGGGAGTTGAGGAAAGAGCTCTCCCCACCCATGTGTTAGGAATGGACTCTTCATCTGAAGATGAATGCAAGGTATGCAAGGGTAGAAACTAGGGTTCAAGGATGATAAATTTAGAGTTGGAAGATACCTTAAAGGCCTTCTAATCTAACCCAGCTAGGTGGGTGCAGTAGATAGAGGATTTGGCCTAGAGTCATGAAGACCTGAGTTCAAATCCAGGGTCAGACACTTACTAGCTGTGTGATCCCTAGGCAAGTTATTTAACCTCTGTTTGCTTCAGTTTCCTCATCTATAAAATGAGTTGGAGAAGGAAATGGAAAACCACTCTAGTATCATTACCAAGAAAATCCAAAATGGGGTCACATTTTGGATATGACTGAAAAACGACTGAACATAATCTGTGTGTGTGTGTGTGTGTATGTGTATGTATCTCTATGCGCGTGTGTGTATATATATATATGTATGTGTACATATGTGTATATATACATATATAGTATGTGTGTATGTGTATGTATCTCTATGTGTGTGTATATGTATGTGTTATATATATGTATATATATAGTATGTGTGTATGAGTATGTATCTCTCTGTGTGTGTATATATATAGGTCTGTGTATATATGTATATATAGTATATATGTATATATAGTATATATGTATATATATATGTGTCTCTCTGTGTGTATGTGTATATATGCATATATGTAGTATGTGTGTATGTGTATGTATCTCTATGTGTGTGTATATATAGGTATGTGTATATATGTATATATATACATAGTATGTATGTATATGTATCTCTGTGTGTGTGTATATATATAGGTCTGTGTATATATGTATATATATAGTATATATCTATGTGTATGCATCTGTGTGTGTGTATAGGTATGTGTATATATGTATATATGTAGTATGTGTGTATGTGTGTGTATATATAGGTATGTGTATATATGTATACATATAGTGTGTGTGTATGTATATCTCTGTCTGTATACATATATTCATATACATACATGTCTGCATGTATGTCTATGAAAAAGCACCGATCTGAATCGTAGGATCAAACAAGTCTAAACAGCAACATATCAATCTAACGGTAAAAGGAAGGGATCAGTGAAGGCGACTCTGGTCATGAACCATCAGCTTTGCACGTGGCGCTGCTTGGATAAAAAGGAAGCGGTTCTGGCAAGGTTCTAGGACAGGCAGAGCTATCCAGATGAAAGCTGAGTTTTCTCCAACCCACAGTGTCCATCGAGGCCATCAGGAAGCAGCAGGCCCAGGACGAACTCAGAGCTTCTCAGGGACTAGAGTAAGAAGTTACACATACCCTTGAGAACAGAAGAATGCTAGCCTATGTGGTATACAAGTCTTACACCAAGGACTGGAGCCATAAAGGGGAGGTGATGGGACTGAAACCACAAGCTGATAGGGTAGCCAAGCTCTTCAGATGTTTAAATGCCCTTACCATCCCATCCTCCCAATCACACCCTATCTGGTCTCTTCTCCAGGCTAAAGGTCGTCTTTGAGTTTTCATACAGAATTAACTCAAGAACCACTATTCCGATTCCGCTCCTATGGGCCAGGCTTTTCAGCACATCAACATTCCTCCTGAAATACTGTGTTAGAGTCAGACAGGTGGAGTTTGAACCCCACATCTACCCCTTGTTTATTGCCCATGTGAACGTGGGTTAGTGACTTTTCTTCACTGGGTCCCAGTTTCCACATCTGTAAAATAAGCATCTGGGATTATATAACTTCTGAAGTATATTCTGCCTCTTTGCTCCCCATCATCCTAAGTGGCTAATTCAACAGCTGAAAACATTCCTATTTGGAATGAAATTGCAATCTTCGAGACGACTTCTCTCAAAGTCGAGACTTCAGGAAAGTAATGAAAGAACCCGCCAAAACATCACTTTGATGCAGCAGCTGCTCTTGCTCACGCTCATTTGGACTAATCCTCTGTGACCATCCTTCCTCCGATTAGCAAAGGCCATTAGAGAAAAGCATGGCTTTTATAGAACAGCATTTACATCATATTCCAGGGACTGCTGCTTGGAGAAAATCATTTGCTGCACCGGATTCGAGAGTTGTCCTAATTTCTATTATCTCCCTAATAATAAAAGAGCAATTCACAACTTAATCCCCTGCCTGAACTCACTCTGACTCCCTAATCATTCAGTTAGTCAACCATATCTACCGAGCTATTGATCAATGCTGAGCACTGAATAGGAGTCAATCTGCTTTCCTTGTTGGAGCTAACACAGGCCCTATAAAAAATGAGGCACTCTGACTTCCCAAATTGACTTCGTCTGAAAAAGACCCCAGATACCAAGGTTAATCCATTTCAAGGTCAGTCAATATGGTAAGGATCAGTTAATTTTAAGTGTGGGGAGTACTCCTTCCATCAACACAGATGGCAAACCTGTAACTCAGTCAACTGAATTCCAAGTTCTTTAAGAGTTTCTATAGACCAAGATACTCTTCACTTTCTGCCCATCACAACTTGGTGATTGGCTCTCCGAACCAAGCTAGGCTAGTACTCAGACAATGAGTGAGGGATCCTCTAGTGGGCTCATGTTCAAAGCCATCCCAGCTTAGTTAAACTTTCCAGAGACGGTGTTCGGCTAGTACAGCCTTCAGGAACCCACAACAACTGGTGAGGCATCAGAATAGGAATTCAGGGGAGTATTTCAGTATCAATGGTACGGGAATCCCTAACATGGTGGAAGTGTTGTCTCCCTGTTAAAATACAAGCTCCTTGAGAGTAAGGTTGATTTCCTCTTTCTCTTTATCTCCAGTGTTCAGCACAGTGCCTGTTACACAGTAAACACTACATAAATGTTTGTTGATTGACTGATTGAACAGACCTCGGTAATATCAGAAAAATACAAGCCTTATGCCTAGTCTTACCATCATCCACTATGTCTTGGGCTGCCACAGAATTGGTGTAGATAACTAAATCTGAGAGATCCCGGCACAGTTTCATGGTTTTCCTTCTGCGGCCGAGCCTGTAAGGAACACAAACAATCTACAGTGCAAAGTCTATAAATTGCTACATACTAAGAATTTTTCTTTGAAAATTCTTATTGTCCCCTCCCCATGGAATGTTTCATGATTTGTTCCCCATCCTACCTCCAAAGATTTTTGCTAGCAGTTGTCCTGACAGATTGCTCTATTTCTTTATTAAGTTTATACTAATTAATATTCTATACTTTTCTAGTCCCTAAAGGCAAGGACCATGTCCCATCTATCCAATGTACTCTTAACCTACACTAGTTATTCAGTCCAGGCATTCTTTGGGATGCTCCAATATGAACAGAAGTTGATCACATATCATCCCTCCTTGCGAGTAAAGAGTGTTTCATTTTTTTGTCTTTGTATCAGCACCAAGCACATAGTGGGTGTTTACTAGTAGGTCTAGCACATAGTAGGTGTTTACTAAATGCTTGTTGACTAATTCATCATCATGAGCTACGAAGCAGCCATGTGCAAACTGCATCTCTTTTGCTACTCTTCCTCCACAAACCTCTTCTCCAGCATCCACTTCATCCACTCACCTTCATGACTTTGCAATCTTTGCTTCCTATCATTCAGGGGTTCTTAACCTTTCTTGTGTCATGGACTCCTGTGGCAATCTGGCGAAGCTTATGAACCCCTTTTCAGAATTATGTGTTTAAATGAATAAAATAAAATATATGCAATTGCAAAGAAACCGATGAGTTATCAAATATAGGTATAAGAACAAATTTCCAGAACCCCTGACATTTATTCACAAACTGAGGTTAAGAATCTCTGCTCTAATTGGATTAACTTCCTCTCACTTCACCGCATTTCCAAATCCAAGCCATCCTTCAAGACCTCCATCTCCATGAAGCCTTCAACATTTTCTGCCCCCCATTAACTCCCATCACTACATTGCTCATTTGGGAATGAATCATTATATTGTCACTTGAAATCCCATGCATTTATGCCTTGACACTTTCACTAGGTTGCAAAATCCTTGAGGGCAGGGAAAATACCATTCTCTATATCCAACAGAGCCACTTTGCACACCAACAATGTGTTGATTTGACTCTCTAAGACATTACAATTTAACACAGATACTAAGTAGGGGACCACAGAAATGCTAGGTAACTGTGTGAACTTAGAATGCTAGCAGTGTCCCTGACCTGTAGAGCTGGCCACCTTCCTTTCCAGAAGAATTATGGTGTGCTTCCTCATCGTCATCAGTACTATTAGACTTGGACCTCGTCTTTGTCGTTTTCTGTTGGAGAAATCACAGAAGACTTGTCAGTAAGCCCATCCTGCCATGCATCTCTGCACTAGACGTGGAATGAAGGGAGATTTAAAAGTGAAATGAGAGACAGAGACTTAGCCTGAGGGCAGGAAGTACTTCCTTTTCTCCTTCTTTGTGATCAACACCCTTTAACACGGTGCCTGGTACATATTAAGAGTTTAGATATTGGCTGGACTGAGTTGAATACCAGCTGTCCTTCTGAATTGTTTTTCTTTTTTTGGTCCCTAGAAGACACCTAGAGGCTGTGTATTAGAGAGCTCCAGTATCAAGCAGGTGTCTTGGGATATGACTCTGCAGCTGAGAGTGACTTTGTGTGAGATTTGCTGCCTCCACAAGAAGCAGCACCCTGTGCCTGGCTCTGTCTAGGATTTGAGGATGTAAGCTCTTTATGAATTTGAATCTCCAGGGCTGAGCACACAGTAGGCTTTTGATAAATGCTTACTGGTTGATTGGTTGACTTTATGATCTTCCCTAAGAAGATCCCAGAGGAAAAATGCCAGGGTTAGATTTGGAGAAGCTAGACTTGAAACGTGGCTTTATTTTTTAACAACTGTGTACTAAGGCAGATAGATGGCACAATGAGCAGAGTCAGGAAGACCTGAGTTCAAATCTTGCCCCAGACATTTAGTATCTGACTACAAGGGCAATGCAAGTCATTTACGCTGTCTCAGTCCATTTCCTCCACTCCAAAAAAGGAGATAATAACAGCATCTGCCTCCCAAGGTTGTTATGAGAATCAAATGAGATAATCTTTGCAAAGTGCTTAGCACAGTGCCTGGCATATAGTAGCTGCTTAATAAATGTTTATCCCCTCCCTCCCTCTCTGGCCTCAGTTTCTTCATCTATAAAATGAGGGCATTGAAGCATATGGCTTTAAGGTCACTTCTAGTTCTAAATCTCTGAGCCCACGATCTGAAAATCAAAGAAAAGTAGATGGGGGGGGTGGTAGGACAGGCTAGAACCTTACTCAGCCAAAGCAAGGAAGAAGGGAGAGCCCCAGAGGCAGCACAAGCCAGAAAGATGAGGTACCTCATCTACATGAGAATAGCTCCTAGAAAAAATACTTGACAAAGGATACTAAACTGGGTGGGAGGCAGGGTGCAGCTAGGTAGAGTTAGGAAGACCTGAGTTCAAATCTAGCCTCAGACACGTACTAGATGTGTGACCCTGGGTAAGTCACTTAACCCCATTTGCCTCAGTTTCTTCATCTGTAAAATGAGCTGGAGAAGGAAATGACAAGCCAGTATCTCTGCCAAGAAAACCTTGAATGGGGTCACAGAGGGTCAGATAAGATTGAACAACAACTCCACACTGGGCATCACTTGTCTTGGGAAAAGCAAAGAAATGAATACTCCCCTCTCAGGACAGCAGGGATGCTTCTTGATTCCACTGTGTCTTGTAATGAACAAGTTCCTCTGTTTTCTGCCATGGCCATATAACAGGGTTCTGTGGCCCTGATACTGAGCACCCAATTTAATGAAAAATATCTCAGCATGTGGGTGGTGGCTCTTGGGACAGAAATCCTATTATTAATCCAGAATTACTCCTGTTCTAAGTCCTCATTGATTCCTATGCCTCAAAGAAAGGAAAAATTTTAGTTTTATATTCATCAAAGCTATCCCAAAACAACTGTTTTTAAGCACTGCTTTTTAATGAGGGTGGCTGGTTACAGTGATTAAACTAGGAATTCTCCAGTGTCCCATGATCCCGTAATTTAAGGTGACGATGATGGAGGGAAGGTCTTCTTTGTCCATTATTTCCATGGGCTATCCTCCTGAGGGAGGTGGTGGCCAGCCTTGATATTCCCTAATGCAAAGTGAGCAGGGCTTACAGAAATCCTGAGGCTGAAGTGGGTGAAGCTGGATCACCCGTTCATCTTCTGATGTGAATTAGGAGGATGTAGGCAACCTAGCAGTTCACTCATAAGGATATGGGTATTCCCTGAGAAGACTTGTGACTTTATTAGGATTTTTTTTAAAAAGTTACATTTCCAAAATGTCACCAATTAATTGCTAATTGAACAAGCAAGAATGGAAGGGGAGGGATGAGTGAAAATTAGGCTAACTCACATTTTTATACAAGGTCTGCTGTTGGGTCCCTGTATGGTCACTATTGTCTAAAGACATGAGTCACTGGAATTTGGTCCTAGCAGGCCAGCCTTAACTGGGCACAGTGCACAGCTTCCTTGCTAAACACTGATGTGCCTTTACTTCACAGCATGATTTTGGTTTCTTAATTTCTTCAGCCAAGAGCTACCCAAAGGCACAGTTAGGTTTGGGGTGGGTGGAATGAGAGAAATTTTTTTTCCTGATTTTGCTTTGTGTTTACAGAGTTCTACTCAAAGCCTCATTTCTGTCACCAGAAAAAAAAATCACAGATTTAGAGCTCAAAGCGACCTTATTTCATCTGACACTTTCATTCTATAGATCAGGACACTGAGCCTCAAAAGGTTAACTGGCTTGCCAGAGTCACATAGTTACAAGAGGTAGAAGCCAGACTTTTTAACTCAGGTCTTCTAGCTACAAATCCAGATATCAATCCACGTACCTCCTCACTCTCCACCATTATCAAAGAGTATTCATTGGGTCCCCACATGCTCAGGATGAAAATTTAAAGTCAAGGCTAACTTTCTGGACCTCGGCTTCCTCAGTTAGGACTTGGGGATAACGCCGTGTCCTCTGTGTTTCCCAGAGAGTTACACTCTACAAAAGGAGTGGGAAGAATTTCCAGCACAATTTGGTCCATGGATGGCAACATGTAATTTTAGTAACAAAGACAGTGTCTGAGTGACCTTTCAGACACAGTATCTTATTCCCTTCCCTCCTGGCAGCCGAGCAAGAGGCTGATATCATGCATCACTCTCTATTTTTGCATAAAGTCTTACTTGTCCCAGGAGCTTATGGGGCTGGGATAACAGGCATAAAAGGTTCCTTAAAGATGACTGACGGTTCTGAAATTGAAAAGCTCACCAAGACTACTTAGAACTTCCTATATATTTTAAGAACTCAGTTCAGGTGCCACCTCCTACTTGCATTTCTTTTGTATACCAAGAAGCAGTGTGACATAGTGTATGGAGGGATGAGCTGGTAGACACATCCTGGCTGTGTGACCCTGGACAGGTCACTTATCTTCTCAGTGCTCTAGGAACCTAAGACTATAACCTAATCTCCATTAGTAAAGGGAGTTTCCATGCTAGGAAGGTTCCCTTTAGCAGTGAAATCAAGTCCAGGAGAGCTGCTTATTTGTGGATCTGTCATCTCCCTTGTTAGAATGTAAGCTTTTCCAGAGCTGTTTCACTTTTGTCTAGCCCCAGGCCCTAGCGTGTAGTAGGCCTTTAATAGTGGTGGACTGAGTGACAGATGGAGGAGGTGGCGCAGCTATAGGAATCCCAGTATTTTTATTTTTACATACAATCTCACTGCACCAGATGGCTCATGGGCCTGGGATAACTGTGATAATTGAATTGGGCTCCAGAGAAGTGCTCAAGTAGGAGTAAAGGTGCTTATATCCAGGCCCCAACTCTGCTAGCTAGTGCCTGTGACCTTGAACAAGTGACTTGACCCCTTCGGGCTGGATTCGATGGTCTTTGCAGTCCCCTCCAGCCATAAATCTATGACCTGATTCACCAGTGCCTCAAGGATCTGGAATGGTATCCACGGGAAGGTCCCCCCACCGACACAGATAGCAATCCCTCCATGACTCAGAGCAGCTATGGCCAAAGACCAACATCCCTGACGCCAGCCTGGTAAACAACCTTCCCAGGGGCGATCCTTGCAGAACAATCATGCCATTGAGCTCCTGTACCAAGTCTTGTATACTTGGGAGAAAATGTCAGAGCTCCTATGTGTATACACGCACACACACGCACACATACACGCACACACACACACAGAGCAAAATTTGGTCTGAATGTCAACGTGTATTTTTAGTAACACAATCTACAGTGTCCTACTGACCTTTCAGATACCAAGGACCAAAGAAACATCTGGATACAGCAAATTTTTTTGTTGTTTGTTTAAAATTGGACATAATAAGGGGCAGCTAGGTGGCGTAGTGGATAGAGCACCGGTCTTGGATTCAGGAGGACCTGAGTTCAAATCCAGCCTCAGACACATAACACTTACTAGCTGTGTGACCCTAGGCAAGTCACTTAACCCCATTGCCTAGCAAAAACAAACAAACAAATAAAATTGGACATGATAAGCCTGCCCCTTCCCCCCAAAAAAGTAGTTAGCATCAGGTCCAGAAATCAGATCTGGTAGAGACCTTGGGTCATGTAATGATCCAAGTCCCTCCCATGACAGAAGTGGTAGCCAGGTGGCTCAGTGGATAGAGAGAGTACTGGACCTGGAGGCAGAAAGACCTGAATTCAAATCATATGCTTACTAGCTGTGTGACCTTAGGCAATCACTTTAACCTCTGTCTGCCTCAGTTTCCTCATCTGTATAATGAGGATAATAATATCTACCTCCCAAGGTTGTGAAGATAAAATGAGATATTTGTAAAATACTTTGCAAACCTTAAAGTGCTATGTTTATTTATATATTATTGCTATAGATACACATATATATGAATACATATACATATACACATATATATACACATACATATATGCATATATAGAGAGACAGAGAGAGCTATCATTGTTGCTGTTTTTATGAAAACAAGGACCAGAGAAGTGAGATAACTTATATTAACTGCACAGAGCAGGAAGACTCCAGTTCTTCTGTCTCCTAGGCCAGTGTTCTGTCCACTAGGCCACTCTGACTATAGGGTCATAGACAGGATTTTGAAGTGACCATTCGAATTAATTACAGTTAAAACTGTCAACATGCACATTAGCAATTCTTGTCTCATACCTTGTGTTTTCCAAAATTACTCATTAGGGACCGTCCATGAGATTTCCTTCCACTTTCTTTCACATCTGGATTCTGAGCAAACAAAAAGACGCCATGAACATGTTTTCAGCTCCCTTTACAAGCCAAGAAAGGTATTTGATCTCGTTGAGCTTTTGAGAACTTCCCCCCAGGAAATTCTGTTGCCAAGTTCTCTGAATTCTTCCTACATAACATCTTTTACATCCCTCCTGACTTTCAATCCCTAACCTAGGCTGGGGCCTCATTATGCCAGGACTGGACCATTACGATAGTTTCTGTGCCTTTAGTCTCTGACCCCTCTACTCTTTTCTTTGTATTATAACCATATGAGTTGCCCTCAAACACCTCTTTGTGCATGTTACATCGCTGATCAAAAGCCTTCAAAGGCTCCTCACTGGCCACTCATTAAGGTCCATGCACCTTACCTGTTATACAAGGCCCACCACAGCATAGCCCAAGCAACCTTGATGGCCTGCACTTTTCCTGTCATTCCCTTAATGAGCCCACCAGACCAGCCAAGCTCATCTGTCTTTATCTCCCAGAACATGCAGTACGGTCCCCACCTTTATGCCTTCATTTGTGCTGCTTTTCCACTGGGAAGGTTTTCCTTTTTCCCCTCAAAGCGTCTAAAGCCCAACCTTTCTTGAGTCTTTCTTCCTGCATAAAGCCCTTCCTGACTAGCCTGTCCCACAAAGACCAACACTGTCACCAAACCTCAGAGTTGGAAGAGCACTCAGTTCAATCTAAACCTTTCCGGGGATCCCCTCTACGCCATCCCCAACAAGGGATCATCCAGCCTTGTTGGAAGGCCTCCGGGGATGGGGAAGGGGGGACAGCGCCTCCATAAGCCTATTTGTTCTACATATGAACAGTTCTTAATGTCAGGAAATTTGCTTTGTTTTTTTTTTTCTTTCTTTTCATAAATTGTGTGGTACAGAGGAAAGAGCTCTAGAATCCCAGGGCCTGGGTTCAAATACTATCTCTACTGTTTATTACCTAGATGACTTCAGGCAAGTGACTTCACCACCACTACCACATCCCTGGGCTCAGTTTTCTCATCTCATCAGAATGGAGGGATGGAAGGTTCAACTAGATGCCTCTGGTGGGCCATGCACCAGCTCAAGGTCAATGATCCTTGATGCTAAGGCTCAGGCTGCTTTGTCTCTGTCTCCTCTGTCTCTGTCTCTCAGTCTCTCTCTGCGTGTCTCTATTTCTCTGTCTCTGTTTCTGTCTGTCTGTCTCTCTTTCTCTCTCTCTCTCTCTCTCTCTCTCTCTCTCTCTCTCTCTCTCTCTCTCTCTCTCTCACACACACACACACACACACACACACACACACACTCCATTTCCCTCAATGACATGTAGCAATAGCACTTTGTTTCACTTAAGTCAGAAGATTAAGCATGCAAGGAGTTCTCTTTTCCTGACCTGTCACTAAGCAATTCTGGGATTCCATTTAATGTGGCTGGTTAGCCAAAAGTGCATCTTGGGCACTCAGCTTTCACTATCCATTACAGGTAGATACAAATTCATTAAGAAATGCAGGGTTCTAGACCCCAGACTACTTTATGAATAATGTCAACTCTTACTGCTAGGACAGATCTTAGAAACAAACTCTAGGGAAAAGGCTAGATTAAAAACCCAGCAGCCAGGATGCCAACCCTGTCAACAGTTGAACTGACAAGGAGTGAAAGTAGACAGTGATCCCAAACCTCTCACAGAGTCTGTCTTGGCTTAGCTCCCCACAATTCACTGCCACTCAGCTACACTGTAGGGTCATTTTGACCGACTCTGGCATGACCCAGTTTCCCCCACCTCTACCCCATAACACAGGCACCCTCTTTCTGCCTGAAGAGTAAAGGAAACCAAAAGGTGTGCCAGAGCCCCAGCAGCTTCTCCATCCATCTTCAGGCACACCTTTTGTTTCAGAGGGGTGATGTGCAGGGTTGAACAGCACAGGAGACCAAGAGTTTAAGGTCTCCTTCGGGGTTCAGGAATCCCTAGTGATTTTCATTTCTGTCATTCCAAAGACATGACTGGATATCAAAATTGTCACACAATTTCAATCTCCTCTTGGCCCTCAACTACAGGCTAGAGGGATGATCCTATAAGAGTGAAGGACCAAGGCCAGTGTTGGCTTTGGATGGGGAAGGGGAGGCAATTTGCTGAAACAGATAAGGACAAATTCCATAGTGGTCCTGGCCTGGAGGATCCCGAGATGGCCCTTTCCCCAAAAGATTCCATTCCAGAACCCAAGCCCTAACCACCCCTCCACCCACCCCCCACTCCTGCAGCAGAATGGTACATGAAGGCTTTGGACTAGCCAATACAAATCCCTTCCCGAGGGATGCAAGCCAGAGACATGTAAAGCCTTAATATGCTTGAGGGAGGAAGGGTCATGTGCTGGCCCAGGAGATATCTCGCAGCTCAGCAATCCGTGACCTGCCTGGACTTGTGTGTGACCAAGAGGCCAAGAAGATGCAAAACATCTGTCCCTCTTTCCTCTCAAAATATTCGACTGACTCTAAGAAGAATAGAGCACCAAGTCTAGGCCACCAGCCTTCCAGCTCACACACTCTCCATTCCAATGAAGCTGGCTACCTGTGCCTTGGAATAGCTGATTCCCCTTGTCTAGAAAGCTCTTTCCCTCCTGTAGAGTCTGGCTTCCTTTAGAGCCAAGCTCAGGCTTCACTTTTTATATAAAGCCTTTTCATGATCCCTTCAGTTGACAGTGTATTCCGAAATTGCTCTGCATTTACCTATCCATGTGTGTACTACATCCTGTAGTACTACCCTGTAGAATGCTAACCCCTTGGTGGCAGACAGGCTGTGGTTGTTCCCCCTGGCATCCCCAGCCCAGCACACAGTAGGCACCTTTTAAATGGTTGTTGACTTCAACTGAATTCACCAATGGTGGTGACCCCATGGCTCCAAAGCTCTCACTGCGGCAACACAAGCCGTCCCAGAGCCATTTGTCTCACTACTATAGATTGGATTCAAAAGCAACATTTACAACTTTTCCATAAAACTGTTCTTCAGTTTGAGGAAAGGATACTTTGAAAAAGGCTCAGATTCAACAAAAGAAAAGGGAGCTCCATCTCACATTCAACCACACACATTAAAAAAAAAATTGAAGTTCCTTTTTTTGGCAGATGTACTTATGCATCTGTTGACGGGGGCTAGATCCCAGAAGGAATTCCCCATACCTGCTTCAGATGCACATTTAAGCCTTCATGCGTAGCCTTCAACAGAGCTCGAACAGTGAAACTGTCAGAGTCTTCCTTGTCCCTGATTTGAGATTCTTTTAATAGTGATTCCAATTTTTTCCTTATGAAAGATTCCACTTGATGATCAGTTGTCCCGTTATTCTAAAAAGATTCAGAAAAGATCAATAGAATAAGTGACTTCCTGGCCAGTGCTGGAAGCCAGCAGCAGCTTCTCAGGGTCAAATACCTCTCACAAAGCTATGCTCTCGTAGCCTCATAATACAGCTTCAAGTTGGCATTTTAATGCTTTGGACAAAGGATAGAAACTGAGACCTAGGGAGAGAGAGAGAGACAGCCCCTAAAGTTCTGATAAGCTAGACAAATGTCGAGAGTGATTTGCAAAGCTAAGCAGAGAGATGGGTCACTTTATTTTGAAAGCATACTCTCCTTACTGGGATTGGGATGTGCAGAATTGGCAAAGGGGCTCAGGGGGAGGGGGTAAGCAGGAGGTCCTGCTCTGTTCCAGATACACTGTGTGACTACAGTGGACCAGAAGGAAGACCACTGAACGAGACCCCAGGAGACTGAGGATGGAAGCCAAGAATCCTAACATTGCAGAGTTGGAAGGGATCCCAGTGATTGTGATCATTCTAAGCTAGTGGTGGTCATACTGCTTGGTCTCAGGAACCCTTTATACTCCAAAACTATTGAGGACCCTCCCCCCAAAAGCTTTGCTTATTTGGGTTATATTTATTGATATTTACCATATTAGAAATTAAAACATCTTAGTATTATTATGAAAATAGTTTTGATCTCATAGCCCCCTCGAAAGGTGTCAAGGACTCCCAGGGGTGCCCAGTCCATACTTTACAAACCATTGATGTAGTCCAATCTATACTCAAAAGGAATTTCTACTCAAGCATGTCTGGCTTTGAAAGATTAGTTGAACTTCTGTGGGTAGAGACAGATAAGGACTGGGGGAAAAGTATTGCCGATGGAACGCCCAGCATGAGCAAAGACATAGAGGCAGAAAAGTACAAAGAAGCCGTAAAGAATGTTTTGTACAGTGTAAGTACTTGGTGTCAAAATCAGATATTGTTTGTGCATTTTATATTTCATTTGACTCTGCAAATGATTTTATACTGTAACCTTATCCAGTATTCTATGTAACAAACCTAAGCATCTTCTCTGTCTCTGAGTTAAGAAGCTCATAAGTTCAAAGGTTCTCTCTCTCTCTCTCTCAAAAGTTAGATACCAAAGGCGTAAGCTTTCCCACGATAACTGTCATTTTTAAAGAAGAATTCTATTCTCAACACTCTGATAAAACATGGTCTCAGCATTTCCTGCAAGGTTTGTGTTATCCTTGAAAAGCTGGACTAATTAATCTTGTCCCATCTTTAGCAATTACAAAGGTGGTCTTCTCTAGTCTACCAGGTGCAAGTGAGTTTTTTCATCCCTGGGTCCCTATCAGTGATCTCAGGATGCAGCTGGGACCCATAAATTCACAAAGCATTCCTTAGAGATAGAGAGGTTGTTTTTTATCCCGTGCCTATGTCATATCCACTTTCTTTATTGTAACCAATCACGATCCCTCTCCCCCACCCACACACACAATGATGCTGGCCATTTATATGCTTTTTTTCTGTTCTTTGTTCTATGAGTAGAAAAATGAGTTGCATCTTCAGTTCTGGGTCTTTGTCCAGAGGCAGTGCCATTGACCCATCTTTTATTAAAGGGTTCAGCACCCTGTTAATAAACTGTTTTCTTGCACAGAATATTGCCTCAGTTTATCTTTTTGTTAAATTTCACACCTGACACTAATAAATATTTGTTGAATTGAATAGAAAAATTCCTTTACAATCAAACATGCAAACAGATGACTATGATGTCCATACCCTTTGACACAAAGATTCTCCTGAGGCATAAACCCTAAGGGGGGGTCACTGACAAAAACAAAGACTCCTTAGATACTAAAAGGTTCATAGTATCTTTTTTTGGTGTGGTAGCAAAGACCTGGAAAGAAAATAGATGCCCCTTCAGTTGTTATTAAGTAATTTTTCAGTTGTGTCTGACTCTTTGTGACCTCATTTGGGGTTTCCTTGGCAAAGATACTGAGTTGGCTTGCTATTTACTTCTCCAGCTCATTTTACAGATGAGGAAACTGAGGCAAACAGGGTGGAGTGACTTGCCCGGGGTCACATAGCTAGCAAGTGTCTGAGGCCAGATTTGAACTCACAAAGACAAATCTTTCCGACAGGCCTGGCACTGTATGCGCTATGGCGCCACCTAGCGTCCAGCTCTTTGAGTAGGGAAAGGCTAAATACACTCTGGTAGGTAAAGGTAATAAAGTGTCATAGTGCTGTAAGAAATGAAAAATGTCATGACAACAGAGAAACAAGGAAATACACTCATGCAGTGACAGAGAGTGAAGTAAGCAGTGCCCAGAAAACACCAGGCACGATGATTATGATCACGGTGACAGAAAAAAATAGCAAGCTCAAAAAATTAAAAGTGAACACTAAAAATTCTACGCCTGGCCACAGAGATATGGGAAAATGCTTCCTTCTGCTACTCCACAGGGGAGGGAGTTCACTGCAGGGATCACTGCATACAATGTCAGGGCTTTCTCAAAGTTTCTGGACATTTCACTGAGCTCTTTTCTCTTTTTCTTTTTTAATTCCTGGTTATAAGGGATGGCTCCCTAGCAGAGGAAAGGGGAAGGAATCCAAAGGGGAATCTAAACAATGAGAAAACAAAAAAATCTATTTTAAAGACCACACAACAGTTTGTAGATCCTGCTGGGAGCTAAAGAGCACATTTTGTTTTGGAATGAAAGTGTCTCCCATTTCATCTATTCAAAACATCTTTTTTGAATGTATTGAGCTTAAACATAGAGGAGTCAATAAAGTTACATCAGACTTAGGTCCTGCCCTCTGGGACCTTACAATCTTATAAGGAAGATGAGGAGCCATGGGCATAAACATCTAAGCCACAAGGCAGCAGAAATGCCATTATGAGCACTGTGACTAGCACATACTTTAGGAATTCAGAAAATGGAAAGAACACTTTTTGCTGCGATGATCAGGGAGGATTTTACGGAGAAGGTGACATCAGAAATGGGCCTTGAAGGATAAGCATGATTCAGTAGGGAGAGACCAGTCAGAACTGGGAGGAAGGCATTCCAGAGAGAAGGCACAGCATGAACAAAGATATGGAGGTGGGAATATACAAAGAAGTAGTAAAAGGGCCAGCCCAGACTGGAGGGAAGGAAGGTCGTTTGGGCCAAGGCTATGGTGTGCCTTGAATGTTAGTCTAGGGGATTGACAGTTTCCTTAAAGGGCAACATGGAGGCCTCCCTTAAAAGCATCTGTGCAGATGGAAATATAATCAAAGTAGTCAGTACTTTGGGGGGCTTTTTGGGGGGCAGCTAGGTGGTACAGTAGACAGAGTGCTATGCCTGGATTCAGGAAGACTCATCTTCCTGAATCAAATCTGGCCTCAGATACTTGTGTAACCCTGAGAAAGTCACTTAACCCTGTTCACCTCAGTTTCCTCATTTGTAAAATGAGCTGGAGAAAGACATGGCAAACCACTCCAGTATCTGCCAAGGAAACCCTAAATGGGGTCACGAAGAGTCAGACATGACTGAAATGGTTGAACAACAGTCAATACTTTGGAAAGATTGATCAGCTGAGAGTGTGTGGTGTAAACTACAGGCCAGAGACTGGAGTCAGGGGGACCAGTTAAGAAGCTACTACAAAGGCCAGGCACGAGGCCATTAGGTACTTCACTGAAACACTCATCTGTATAGAATGAGTGCTTAATAAAAGTTTGTTAAATTTTAATAAATGAGGTTGTAGCAATGAGAAAAAAGAAACAGTCTACAAAGGAAAAATCAATGGGACTCAGAAACTGATTAGAAGAGGAGGGGAGTTTGAACAGGCATGGATTGTTTTATGACACAGAATGATGAATAATTTATATTCATCACCAAAGAGCTCAAAACACTTCAGGTTTTTCTTTTCATCATACTCTATAATTTAATTACGCCTATCGCAACCTATGTGATGTACACGTCAACAATACTTCTCCTTTTCTACATATAGAAGCTGGCACATAGGTCATGTGACAGCCTCACAGTCAGGAATAGAATCCTTGGTTCCCAAGTTGATGTACTTGATCCCGGGAACATCCCAGGAAGACTCAAGATAACACAACAAGAGACAGAGAGAGAGGGAGATGATGGTCATCAAAGGCCAGTGGCTTTCACTGGCTACAAAATGAGAAGGAAAATACAGATAGAGCTGCAATGGAGCAACACTCTATTAAATAGTTAATGCTTTTAAAATATAAAGGAACATAACTATTTGCTTCACATTTTCCAAATCCTGTAGCACATTGAGGAAGTTACATTCCCTGTCCGCCAAACCTTCTAATTTTCTGTAGTTTATGAGACAAGAAAATTCACACCGGAGAAAGACCAAATGATGAATGTCTCCTTTAATTGTATCAATGCATTATTATTATCTGTCCTAAAGCTCAAAACTGTAACTAGAGGAAAAGTTGGCCAGCCTTATGTTTGATTGATGGATGACCAGCTACGTGGCTGCACCACAGATCACAGCAGAAATCCATAGATATTTATTTCTTGCTCTTTTGTTCCTGGGGGCAGTAAGAGCTAGGGGAGGGCCCTCTAGTCTGTGAGGGGTGCTTGGGCAGCCATTGTAATATGGCCTTCAATAGTGCCTGTCTGCCTGAGAAGGAGTTCCAAAGCACCTTTGCCAAGAGGCAAATCTAATCTCAGCATCCCTGCTGAACAACCGAACACCTTGTTTAGGCTTTCAAACGAAGCTTCAGCAGGAAGTGTGATTGTCAATTGGGGAAGGAGAAAACTTGCTGTGCAAGGAGTGAGGACCCTGTCCTGTGGATTGGTAATGAATCCAGACAGCAGCTCAGGGATAGGGGCTCTGAGAGTTGATGCTAGGGGCAACTTGGGGCTCCAGTTTGAAATGGAAGGCCCCAAAACCAAGGAATGGGAGCGAAAATGGACAATGGTGTAAAATGTTCTTTTTGCAAACTTTTTTTTAAAAATGATTTGCTTGATGATCTGTTTTATATCATTGTCATTTCCCAACGACGCCCTGACCACAAGAGAACTAACCCTTGTAAGTACAATCAGGCAAAACAAATCAACACATTGAGTCCAAGATTTCCCAATGAAGATAGTCCCAAACTACCAAACCTTCCAAGCTGATTCTAATTGAATAGTGAAAATGGCATGTGACAATATTTGATAAGATTAAGTTGAGTGTAAGTGAAGGGATGTTACAGTCAGTGTTATCAGAATAAGTTGAAGCACAGATTTAGGAGAGAAGGAGGGAGGGAAGGAGAGATGGAAAAAAAACAAAGAAGGGAGGGAAAGAAGGAAAAGAAGGAAGGAAGGAAGGAAGGAAGGAAGGAAGGAAGGAAGGAAGGAAGGAAGGAAGGAAGGAAGGAAGGAAGGAAGGAAGGAAGGAAGGAAGAAGGAAGAAGGAAGGAAGGAAGAAGGAGGGAAGGAAGACAGGAAGGAAAGGAAGGGAAAAGAAAGGATTGAGCTTCACTGAGAGAATCTGTAAAGAGGAAATACTAGAATTTGATTGGGCAAATCAAAGTCTGCAAGGCTCATTGACATTAGAGGGAATTCATAAAAATGCCTTGTCTGCTTTTCTGATTCAGCTCTGTTCTTCTGCAGCATGAGCCATGCTGCCCCTGGGCCTGTGAGTTGTATAAAAGTTCTGAGGTCACAATGCCCCCAGCTCACCATGCGCTTCATGCATTATGAGGCAGATATTGTTTCTAGGTCTAAACCACAAAAAGACAAACATCCAGATAAAAACTGAAAAAATTATATCAACTACATACAAAGATAAATCTCTATGCCCAGAACTCTCTCATCCCTGTAGGGGACACAGAAGAAGTGTCCGAGCCAGGCCCTACCTGCAAGCAGCCAAGACAATGGCACTCAGTCCAGGCCCTATCCCTGTGACACAAACCCTGACCTCAAGGGGTGACCCAAGGACAGGAAGGCCCAGCACACAAATACCGATGATACAAAGAGGGAGAGAATCAAGAGAAGCTTACAGAGCTCCCGGATGTAAAGTGCTTTATACTCCTAAAGCACTAGAGAGATGCAGGCTATTGTTCTGAAGTATTGTTTTAAATTACCAATAACAGACGTAAGTGAGAAACACAGCTAACGAAAAGCTTGGGCTAATGCTCATACACAATCTATGATAAGTGAGGGGGGTGGGGGTGGGGGTGTCTGCATTCATGAACCCTGAACAAATATAATTACTTGTTGCAGGACCCCATTAACACAACCATCCTTAATTAACCTGGAAAGCTGTGATTAAAAGCTTCCATTAATGGAAGAGACTAGTTATATTAAGTGATAAAGAACTGTAAGCCTACCATGGCCTAGAGTTTAGAGTTGGAAAGGATTTTTGGGGTCCAGCTAGCCCAATCCCCTCATTTTTTACAGTTGAGGAAACTGAGACCAGAGAAGACACGAGCTCTGTCCAAAATCACACCTGTAGCGAGGGGCAGAGATGAGATTCAAAGCGGGATCTTCTGATCCTCTGACCCAGGCTGTCATTTGGCATTCAGAGAACTAGGTTGGATTTCCCTACATGTCTCAGGGGGCTTCAAATGCCAGCAAAGCCTTACAAAGCATTTAAGCTGCTTCACTTAGAGTGTCACTGTAAACTGCCTGATTACAATATAATAATACCTTGGATTTATACATGGTGCTGCCTTCCTTCTGAAGAGCTCAAAGACAGGGGAAAAGTGCAAAAAGGATATTAAATTTTTTTAATGCATACACCAAATATTCCACTTTAATCTGTTTTCTTTATGTATTTCCTCTTCCAAAGATTAACAAAGGCATTGCTGTCTGAATTGACAATGAATTTTCTTTGCCATTTATACAACATGAAAAGGAAAGACTAGAAATGAAGAGGCTTTGAAACCATTTCTACGTCATTTGGGGAAATGCCCTGAAACAACACTGAATCAGGATTCCTATCAACAAACTGGGTGGGGGCGAGGGGGAACCTAATGGAAGATTCCATGCATATATTCATTTTTTTGCATTTATTATATTTATTTCCCTGTTAACAATTCTTGGTCTCATTGGAAATACAGGATTACCAATTTAGAATGTTTACTAAAATGAAAATAAACGTTTTGAGAGTCAGTGGGTTCTGAAAACCAAAAGAACTTGACTTTATATACTTATACAAATTTTTAGGAGGAAGGTATGATGTTAGAGAAATTATCGCTATTATCAACGCCTCACCTGAGGGATTGTACCATTTATTCTCCTCACCAATTACTTTAATAGGCTCATAGAGTTAGAGCTGGTAGAGATATTAGAGATCTTCCAGTCCAACCCCCTCCTTGTACAGAAAGATAAACTGAGGCCCAGAGAGATGAAGAAACTTGCCCAAGATTACCCAAGTAAGTGGGAGAGGCAGGATCCAAATCGAGGTTTTTGGCTGCAAATCAGCCTTCATCCCACCGTACTACTCTGGGTCATTATTGGGAGGACGGGAGGAGGAGCATCTAGGTCTTTCTTATCGAAGTCTCAGCTAAGACTTTACCCTAGTATTCAGACTTTACATTAGTTCTTTGGTATCTTTGTTGAAATAGCCTAGAAACCTAATAACTGAAAAATGTCAAGCCCAGGGGGACAATGTATATGTATAGCAGAAATGAAATGTTTCTAATTAATAAACAAAATCCTAAGCTCTATACTTATTTAAATGACTGTAGCTAAGAAAGCTAAGTACGTATTAAGTAAAAGTACTAAGACATGGCCCAGGGAATAATGAAGCAAAACTGAGCATTTGGAGGTTACAAGGATCCATTCTTATCCATAAGGGGACAAAACGTACCTCTCTCCCTTCATTTCAGAGCTGCTGGTGTGGGGGTGGGACTACCAACATGGAATAATGCATACACCCTCAGACTCTGTAGATGTCTTGGTCAGTTTTACTGAATTGCCTTTTTTCCCTTCATGTTTAATCTCTGTCATGAGAGACAGATCATTGGGCTGCAGGGAGGAGAGGATATATTTGGACATGAACACAACATAAAAGCAAAAACCATCAATAAAAGTTTTAGGTAGGAAGAAAAGTCCCTGAGGATCGGTGATTCTGGGCAAAGGAAGCCCCTGGATTTAGGGAACCCCCTCTCCTGATGGATAGAAACTTAAAAGTTTTAGGAGATCAGTCTTAGGGGATTGTCTCAAATACTGAGAAGTTATCACATAAGTGAGTAATGGTCTGAAGTAGATTTGAATTTAGGTCTTCCTGAAGCTAGGTGGCGCCATAGTGTAAACAGCCAGGAGTCAGGAAGACCCATCTTCCTGACTTCAAATCTGCTCTCAGACGCTTACTAGCTAAGTGACCCTGGACAAGTCATTTCACCCTGTTTGCCTTAGTTTCCTCATCTGTAAAATGAGCTGGAGAAGGACACAGCAAACCACTTCAGCTTCTTTGCCAAGGAAACCCAAAATGAAATCACAAAGTGTCAGACACAACTGAAAACAATTAAAGAATAAATTCAACAACTTCTCATATTCTATCCAGAGTTCAAATCCAATATTCTATGTCAGGCTGCCTTTCAATTAAGACACATCTAACAGAGAAAATTACAAAACATTAGCACTCGTACTTCCGTTTACTTAAATCAATTGAACATGTAATTTCTATAATATCATGACTATCAAATAATAAACACTTGATGAGATTAGGAGGACAATAATGGTTCCATCTGGCACTCTAGTCTTCAAAACACTATCACCTAAAGAAAGTTACGTGTTACACAGACTGGCTCCTATCCTTAGTATAGCCCAGGGGTGGGGTACCTTGGCCTCGAGGCTACATGTGGCCCTCTAGGTCCTCACGTGCAGTCCTTTGACTGAATCCAATTCAAAGGGCTGCACTTGAGCACCTATAGGCCCCATGTGAAGTTTGGATTCAGTCAGTTCAGTTTTCTACCTCACATCCCATTTATAAATAATGTTGATTCTCTTTGGCATCAACAGGTACTGGTAAGTAAGTACTCTTTCTGTGATACTGTAATATAAATTCAAGGCCACAGGAAAGATTAGGAGTATTCAATATCTCCCCATTTTTTTGCAGTCAGTAGAGGAACATAGATGGTGCTCCTGCCCGATCCATAGAAGACCTGAAAAGACTGGTTTCTATAGAAATGAAAATTATTTTAAAACGTTCTAAAGATGATGGGAATATATACATAATTGCTGTTGTTCAGTTGTTTCAATCGTATCTGACTCTTCCAGGCCTGGCACTCTATCTACCAGATCACCTAGCTGCCCCATGTAATACATATTAGTCTTGGCTAAATGATCACATACTTCCCTCCAAGAAGATTGCAGAGGGGGAAAGCCATTGGGGAATATTGGCTCACTTAGCCCTACATTTTCCCCTATCAGAATTTTCCTGACTGTAAATCAGCTTGGAGAATAAGGAGTGAGAAGGTACCTACCTTTTCCACACTCCAACAAATTGCTAAGCAACTTCTTATCTCAGATATGATACTTCAGAAATCAATCTCACAATCCTAGAATTGATTAGAACCTCACATGGATGGTCTAATCTACAGCCTTTCAGTTTGCATCCCAGAAGAAAAATACCTCCAGCAGCAACAAAAGAATTCTTCCAACCAACTACGAAAGCATCCACTCATTCATGATTGCTCTGTAGAATGGTGGAAGGGTGGAGGTGGGTAGGGCATGGAGACAACCTGTAACTTGTGAACTTGACCCAGAACTATGAGAGCATCAGCTCAAGATCTAATCACTTGATATTGGATTCAGTTCTAGAAAGGCAGGTCAGGTCAGACCAAATGTCCACCAAGGTCCCTTCCAACTCCCAAAGTCTCTGACTGTGTGATCAAGACAACTTCAATGACAATGCTTCTGCAGCAACTCAGCCACATTCTCAAGCACTCCATCATTGTAGGAACGGCCAGCCCCTCCTTCCCTCCTTCTGTCAGGGGGTCTTGAAGATGACCCAAAGTAGCAAAGTAAATAACTTACATAATGGAGCTTAAATTTGCAGTCGTCTTCAATTTCATCAGCACTATCTTCATCTGAAACTTCACCTTCTTCTGCATCTTCCCCAAGGTGGTAGGGTAGCTTCTTACCCTGAAATTTAATTGAAAAAAATCATTACAAAATAATAACTGAATATTGTTCAAGTGTCATCCTCAGACTCGGTTTATGAATTCAAAACTGGAAGGGGCCTTAGAGACCATCTAGATCAATACTTTGATTTTACAGATGAAGAAACTGAGGCCTGAAGAGATTAGGTGACTTGCCCAAGGCCACACAGGTAGTAAGAGATGGGATTTGAATCCTGTTATTCTGATCCTAAATCCAGAACTCTAGCCATGGTACCTTGCTGCCTGCCATATTTAATACCCAGAAGGGATCTTTTAATCTCATCTAAACTGGGGGGGAGGGTGGATTTCACCCTTTCAATGTGTCCTGGAACCCCCCAGCAGTCAATCTGGTGAAGCCAAATGAATTCCTCAGAATCACATTTTAAATGCATTCAATGAAACACATAGAATTACAATGTAAACCAATTATGTTGAAATGCAGTTATCAAAATATTAAAAACCAAGGTCACAGGCCCCTGTCCAAGAACTCCTGTTCTAGAATATCATTACATTCATTGTAATCATGAGGAGAGAGAATCTGTGACCTCCTCAAAGCAATACATCACCGAACGAAGGATCCATTGAGCACACCGCCAGTTTGTAACCACAGACACAGAGCTAAAGACCGTCTCCTGACTCCTTGGCCAGGGCTTTCTTCTAGAAAATGGCACCACTGATTCACACTAACTGAAAAGAAAGCCAATCTGAAAGAGTAAAACGCCACAAATGACAACATTTTGAATGAAAACATAGTTTGGGTCCGCGTATGTAACGACAGCTACCTGATGGTGGTGTTTTTTCAAATTAAAGATTCAAACAGTCTTGATTTCACCAATAGATAAGAGCTCCCCATTGGCAGGGACATACAATTGCACAGAACTGAGGTGTAAATGGCCTTACAAGTAGTTCTCTCAAGTAGGTTAAACGTGTCCTTTATTCCTGTTGGCTCACACTTTATTCAGCAAACCCTTTCCTCATCAACCATTCAGCCAATAAATCAATATTTATCCACTATACCTGAAAGGCCCCTTACCAGAGGCCAGAGGAGATAGGAGCATAAATAAAGTGCTGTTTTGTCCCCTCAAAGACTCTATAATCCAGCTTTCTAACCTCCAACTTCAATAGCCCCTTATAAAGAGACTTCGTTTAGTGTTAGTGCAACTTTAAGGGAGAAGAAATAGAATTTGGAGAAACGGTAGTCTGTGGGACAACTGAGAGAAGACTAGAGGAATTTTTCTTTGGAAACATGGAGAGTTAACTGTCATGGAAAAGTCTCTGAGAGACTTCAAGAGTTAACTGTCATCTTCTAGAGAGTCTGAAGAGACATTTTGAGAGAAATTAGTTTAATTCTCATTTTGTAGAGAAGACATTCTGAGAAGAATCCACGAGAGACTTTAACTATTATCCTGAAAGAACTCTGGGGTTCCAGTGTTTTGAAGAAGTCCACAGTTGCAGTTATTTGGGATAGGTGACTCTAGGTAGACATTTTCTTACAGCCAATACTCGGTTGAAAAATCCCTCTATGTTTCTGTATTACTCATTACAGAGTCATCAAATTAGGTGGTTAGTTGGATTAATAGTTGTATAAGACTATAACATGGAGGTTTGGGATGTAGAGAAAAGAAAGCTAGCGTATTTTTTTTTAAAAAAGGTGTTTTCTTGCTTTTTCTAAACTGGGTTAGGTGCTCATGAATGATTAATGAGAGAGCGCTTGCATGTCAGTAATTTTTGAGATTATATCACAACATGCCCTTGATTGTCTTTTCACCCTGTGAGAGGAAGACTAAGGCAATGAGCTAAGCAGGCTGAAAGGCTACAGATAACAGAGGATGACTCCAATGTCACCCACTCCAAGTAACAGAAAAGATGCCAGTCTCCCATAGAAAATAAGGGAGTATGGCCTACGAACTGTCCCAGTAGAACAAAGTGACATCTATAGGCAAGGAGCGGAGATCAGCTGGCCTTAAGATGTTTTATTTTCCTTATGGGAAGAACTTGTAAGTCATTATTGCAGTAGACCTACTAAGAGGCAGGATGGTATCAGGGAAAGAGCATTGGATTTGTAGTCAGACTCGCTTGTTGTGGATCCTTGCTCCCTCCCTCACTGTTTGACCTTGGTGGGCACCTCATTCCCCCTCTCTGTGACTCATTTTCCTTGTCTATAAAATAAGAGGGTTGGACCAAAAGGTCTCTAAGGTTCATTCCAGATCCCAAGTCTACCATTCCAATTGGGATAAGAACTGGGCCTGTTACTTCATTGGGAACTCTCAAATAAGGGATTTCCCTCCACCAACGCAATTTGGCCCCCTCTCTGCAACTTATACTCTATGCCCAGAACACTGAGAGGGGTTAGGTGACTTGCCTGGGGTTGCTGAGCCAGTGTGTATCACTGTGAGATCTTCCTGGTTCTCAGTCCAGTTCTCTATCCACTATGTCACCCTGTCTCTATCACGCCATTCTAATAAATTGGTCAGAAATGATATTTCTTTTCAATTTATGATGCAGAAAAATGGGAGGTGGGCTTCTTTCACAAATATCTGCATCCAGACCACTTTATAGAACTATCACATGTTCTCTTAGGTCCCCCTGACACCGACAACCCCTGCTAAATGCGTTTATTTTGTTAAGAATCCATTCTTCCTGTGATTTTTCTTTTTGGAGGCATCATTAGGATACCTGAGAATCTGGATAAGCAACAGAATGGAGCAATGAGCCTTCTAAAGTAGACAAGACACAGGCATTCAGGAGTGAATAGAAACTGAGTTAGCAGCTCATGACTTGTAAAAATCCTCCTAATATACTCACTCATTCACCAAATGCTGATTGAGCTTGTTCTATGTGAAAGGCACTGGGGGAACACACAGATGTAATAAAACATCGTCCCTGCCCTTACGGATGCTGAAATACAGTAAGTCTTTCATGAGTTACACCCTCAGATTGGAATAACTCATGCAAGAGTGGCTGCCAAAAGCAGCAGAACTGGTGACTTAGTTACATCTTGAGGCTCCCTCAGTTACATCTCGGGAGTGATGTACATCTGCAAACAACAGCTCGTTACCACAGTCAGTAAAGGGGCCCAAATCAATCACCTGAAAGGAAGTAGAAAATGCATCATTGAGAAGTGGTTCCCTCCAAAGTAAAAAAGTGTCTAGCCAGGATGAAGAAAGGGAAACAAGTTCATGGAGCTCTGTTAGAGATCCAACTCCCAGAGCATAGTAGAAAGGGAACAGTCAGAGGACCTCGGTTCAAATCCTGACTCTTCCACTTACTACTTGTGTGACCTGGGGAAAATCACTTTATACCTCTTTGGACCTCATTTTCCTCAACTGCAAAACCAATGACTTGGTTGATCTTTACTAAGTTTGTAATTTTTTTAAAAAATGGTAATAATATAGCAAAAGAATCCCTAAAATTGATCTCACACTTTAAATCTCCTATCCCATTTACTGCCCGCATTACCTTGGTCATGCTAACCTGAACCTGGGCTTCCTCATCTGTGAAATGAGGGGGGCTAGACTGGATGACCAAGAGGTCCCTTCTGGCTTTGTGATCCCGTGTTGTGGACATAAAGGGCTTAAAAAGGGGACAGAGCCCTCCAAGTGGGTATCTGCTACCTTTTAGCAATTGGGCCTAAGGTCACTTATTTGAGGGGCTGAAGTTGCTTGGCTCTTTTTGTCTTACTTCCAAGTGAACGAGGAGGTGCCCATCTATAAAATGGAAGAAACCCTCAGAAAGGCTGTGGACCACTCCCAGGGACAAATGGGCCCCAGGCACTGTTGGAAAATGTATGATAAATCCTGCTGCTCTTCCAAATGCCCATCAGAAGCTCTTCCCTTCTCACTATGAGCCATCCTGGTGCCCAAGAATGCTGTTTGCATGAAAACTGGGACAAGATTCCTCTAAATTATCATGAGGACTTCCGTTTGTGTGGGAGGTTATTCAATTAACATCATCATAAGTGGGTGGGAAATGTCCAAAGGGTCCATTCTGCATCATTTCAATGTCTGCCTTTAAAATTCCTCTGTTTCAAAGTGAAGGCAATTTCCATTCCACAAACCCAATTAGGAGTTTAACCTTTAGGTGGCTGGTCTAATGAGAGATAATATTTGAAAACTGATTTGCAAATCTTAAAATGTCACATCAAACATGAGCTATCATTATGACTATTATCATTATTATTATCATTATTATTATTATTATTATTATTATTATTATTATTATTATTATTATTATTATTATTATATCCTTGAGACAGGGACTGTCTCATTTTTGTCTCTCTGCCTGGTGTGTTTTTTAATAGACTTCTAATAAATGCTTGTCGATTGACCGATTGTTATCTCAACCATAGGCTAGATGAATGTTCAGGAAATTCAGAGATGTTTGTGTGGCTATAAGGATGATACTCTCCCCCACATAACATACACTCCTTTGTTTGATTCTCATTTTAAAATCCAGCTCCAATTTCTCTTATAAAGGCCAAGGATTAATAAGATAATAAAGCAAGTTAATTTCAATCAAAGGGCAGCTAGATGGTAGAGTGGATAGAGTGCTGTGCCTGGAATCAGGAAAACTCATCTTCCTGAGTTCAAATCTGGTCTTGGACACTTACTAGCTATGTGACCCTGGGCAAGTCACTTAACCCTGTTTGCTTCAGTTTCCTCATCTGTAAAATGAATTGGAGAAGGAAATGGCAAACCACTCTAGCATCTTTGCCACGAAAACCCCAAATGGTGTCACAAAGAGTCAAATGTGACTGATAGATGACTGTCTGAATTTTAACCAAGGCAGCACAGTCAAGGAAGACACCAGACCTAGGTTTGAATCTCTCACCACTGACTAGTTGTGTTACCTGGGACAAATCACAATTTCTCTGCCCTAAGTTTCTTCATCTGCAAAATGGGTATAAATTATGCTCATATACTTTATCTCATCAAGTTGTTATATAAGGATCAAATAAGATAATGTATCAGAAGGTAAAAAGCACTTTGGAAATACCATGCATTATATCAATTTAATCTATTAATATTATTCTCATTCTTACTGATACGTTGAATGTCTGATGTGCTTTTATTCAAACGGCTTTCACTTATACGCTGTAACCTTGACTTTTCCTTTGAAGTAGGCACCCTGTCACCCCATCTTACATACTCAGCTCATTTGATTTCATGAGAGTGGAGAACTTCCATGCACCCAAACTCTTTATTAAGTACTGCTGAGATTTTTTTGCCATCATTTCTTTGGCCAGCTTGTATTTGGAGCAGATTGGGAGAATACAGATGCTGCAGCCCCTGGTCTTTCTGTAAGCCAATGGAGACTCCTCAGAGCCTGAAGGCGCACTCTTGTAGTACACCTGCTACTCATGGTCAGCCCAGCAGGGAGGGGAGAGTGAAGGTCAGGCCCCTTTTCAGAACATCACTGCCCTAGGCACCTAGAGCAAGAGCACGTCACTCTGCCTTACAGATGGGAAGACAATCCCACAGCCTCCGCAGGGTCAGAGTCACGCCATCCTTCTCATCTACTGCTTCCTGGAGCCACAGCTAGAGCGGGATAGCATTGGAAAGAACACTAGATGTGGATTCAAATCTCGGCTATGCTACTCATTACCTATGTGACCTTGAGTAAGTCACTTCCTCCCTCATCTCAGACTCCTCCTATGTCAAGGGAAGGGGATGAACTCTGTAGTCTCTTGTAGCACCTTCCATCTCTGCATCTGTAATCCTACTAACCTTTCACTATCTTTGAATCTCTTGAGGGGAAATGTGGGACAATGGAAACAGTGCCAGCATTGGAGTCAGAGGTCCCAGGTTCAAATCTGGACTCTGCCACTTGCTACCCGTATAAAATTGGAGAGTCTCTTCATTTCTCTAAGCCTCAGTTTCCCCATGTGTAAAATGAAACAACTGGACTATACTGAGGCAGCTAGGTGGCACAGTGGTTATAATGCTGGACTTGGAGTCAGGAAGACCTGAGTTTGAATCCTGCTTAGAACACTTCCTAGCTGTGCAACCCTGGACAAGTCACTTAGCCTCTGTCTGTGTCAGTTTCCTCATCTGTAAAATGGGGATAATAATACCACCTGAATCACAGGGATGCTGTGTTTGCCTCAAATCAAATGACATAACAGATGTAGAGCATTTTGCAAGGCTTACAACACTATATAAATGCTGGAATTTATCATTGTAACAGTAATATTAATAATAATAAGTATTATTATTATTATTATCTCTAAGGTCCCTTCCAGCTCAAGTTTGGATCTCCTCTGATTGTAGCTGACGCCGTACAATATTTATTTTGGTCTCCGCCTCTTCTGAGGACAACACAATCCAGCTTGAATTTTAACCCCTAAATTGCCCCCTTCCCCCCATCAATGAAGCCAGCCAGAAGGGTTCTCACTCTGGCTCCCACTGAGTTGACCAAACTTTAGTCAATGCCGCCAGAATGACGCCAGCTAACGGAGGGGACACCACCTCCTTTGCCTCTATTGCTTTCATCATAAGCTGTCAGGTTCGTCCCTTCCAGAAACTGTTTCTACTTAGAGCAATGTCGGACTGTTCCTGTCCTGGCCCTGCCCGTGCAGATACAATCACCTCTAGCGAGCCAGGCCTGCTGGGTGTTGGTCTGAGCGTGCACTGAGCCTCCAAGCTCGCTTCTCTCACTTACATAACCACAGCTGGCCAAGCATGAAGGAGACACTGTTTTTTCCCTTTGACAGATTGTTATGGGAACTGGAGGAAGGGGAGCGGGAAGAGGTTCAGGCCCACGCCGCCGGCAGGTATATGTGAAAGAGCCCACTCCCATTTTTCTGCATGGTAGACAATAATTAGAGACTCCAAATTGAACACTTGCTTTATAGTAGGAGTCTCTCACCCCTGAAAAAAGAATCCCAGGAGACTTGGCATATCAGCTGTACACTTCTTTTGAATGCCAAATTAGAAAAAAATGGAGGGGAAAGAAAACTACACAGAGGCAGAGCAGGTGGGGGAAGGGAGGAAAGAGAGACAGAGATAGAGACATAGAAAGACAGAGAGATACAGAGAGAGGGAGGGAGGGAAGAGAAAAAGGGGAAAGAAAGAGAGGTGGAGAGGGACAGAAGGACAGAGAGAGAAGAGGGGAGAGGGGGAGGGAGAGGGAGAGGGAGAAAAAGGGAGGGAGGGAGGAAGAGAATGTCAGTCTACTTTGTATATCCATTATGATTATTATTCTTTTGATAAACCATTTCTTGATCCTTAGGGGAATTTGGGGCAAGGTTGATAGATGATGACTTTTATGATGTTCTGCAAGTAATTACCTTCACTAAAATTTTTCCTTTCAGACTCTGCGGGCTGGGAAGCTGCTTGGAATCTCCGATGTCGATAGATGACAAGTCCAGTTTGTCACTGAATATGTCCTTTAGGTACCGAGCAATCTTCTTCTGTTGCTGGATGCTGCAGTGATTCTCAATGGATAAAATCACTGGGAACCTGAGACAAAAACAACCACAAAATCAAGGCTTCAGGGGCGTGGCAGCAGAGAGGGCTCAGAAAAGCACTGTGGGCTGACTGGGCTTTCGCATGTCTAGGAAGTCATCTTTGTGGAGGGGGAAGATTAACAAGACAGGGGAAAAAAACCACCTCACAATGATCCTAGATGCATTTGTTAAAACCTCTCCCTTCAGAGAAAAAACATTGTGTTTTGCTTAATGGTTGAGCAAATTGCCAGGGCATACAGCATGCCTTAGATCCACATGGAACTCAAAGTAAGGTGTGTAATGTACAAGGACAGGCAGAGAGGCAGAAGAAGAAAAGAGAGAAAGAAAGAGGAGAAAAGAGGAGGAGGAAAGAGAGAGAAAGGAGAAAATAGAAAAGAGGGAAAGGAGAGGAGGAAGAAAAGGGAGAAGAGTGATGGAAAAAAGAGAAAGGGAGGAGAGAAGAAAATAAGAGGAGGGAAAATAGAGATGGAGGAGATGGAGAGACAGAAGAAGAACAGAAAGAGAGAAATAGGGAAAAGAGAGAGGGGAAGGGGGAGAGGGAAAGGAAAGGAAGGGAGAGAGAGAAGGAGGAGAAAGAAAGGAGGAGAGAAGAGAAAGGTAGAAATGGAGGAGTGGGGAAAATAGGAGGAGGAACAAAGAAAGGAAGCATTGGAGGAAAGAAGAGGGAAAGATGGAGCAGAGAGGGAGAAGGAAGGAGAGAGAGAGCAGGAGGAGAAGGCAAGGAGAAAGTGGCAGAGAAAGAAAAGAGGTAAAAAAAGAAAATATCGAAGAGAGAAGGGAGAAGAAGGAAATGGAAAAAGAGAAGAGGAAGAAAGAGAAGGAGATGGAGAGCAGAAGGTGAGTGTGAGGCTGGAGAGAAGATGAGGCAGAGAGGAAAAGGGGGAAAAGAGGGAGGAAGAGAGGGAGAGGAACCATAACGCCATAACCGAGAAAGGAACATTACATATTCTATTTGCATCTGATTTATTCTCCCTTTTGGAAACATCTTAGGGACACCTATCATTAACTGTAATTGCTTCTTCATGTTTTTCAAGCTTTTTAGCTAAAACGAAAACAAACTGCAGCATTCACTGGAGATAAAAAGTACTTTAAAGTCACGTGGCCCTTATAAAGCAAGTGTTTCAAAACTATGTTGATAGAATGACATTAAAGTGTTTTTCCAAACATTTCAAGCATGGACTGAACACTAGTGTTCTATTTACAAACTGAAAGTCTAAGGGATGCATGGTTCAAGCGATCTGCCCAAGGCAACAGAGACAGCTGGTGCAGAGACAGAAATAAAGCTCAGGATTCGTATACACGGTAGAATAAAAGGGGAAGGAGGGGAATAAGCATTTATTAAATACCTACTATGTGCCAGGCATCGTGCTAAGTGCTTTACGATTATGATCACCTTTGGTCCTCCAAGCAACCTTGGGAGGTAGGTGCTAGAATAATCTTCATTTTACAGATGAGGAAACTGAGGCAGAGAGCGGTTAAAGGAGTTGTCCATGGTCACACAGCTAGTTAAGTGTCTGAGGCTGGATTTGAATTCAGATCTTCCTCCACAGTGATACCTAGCTGGTATACTGCATTTGGAATCAGGCAACCCAGATCTGTGTCTTCTAAGCAATGTACTAGCAGTATGACCTTAGTTAATTCACTTCCACCAGTATGAGACCCAAGGACCTCCATCTGTAAAATGGATATGTGCTAGAAAACTCTCAAGGCCCTTTCCTGCTCTAAACCAACACAGCATTGACTTTGAGTTAGAAAGGCCCTTGGAGGTCACCTAGTCTAATGCTCTTGGTACAGATAAGGAAACTGAGGCCCAGAGTAATGGAAGAGACTTGACCATGGCCATACTGCTAGTTAATTACAAAGCTGGGATGGGAACACAGGTCCTCCGACTCCAAAATCACTGTTTCATGCTTCTGCAGCCAGGTAGCTGGCAGTAGATAGATAGCTGAGCTTGGAGTCAGGAAGGCTTGGGTTCAAACCCAGCCTCGGACATTAACAAGCTGTGTGGTCCTGGGCAAGTCACTTAACTGCAGCCTGCCTCAGTTTCCTCAGCTGTACAACAAGGATCACGACAGCATCTATCTCCCAGGGTTGTTGTGAAGTTCCAACGAGAGAATCTTTGTAAAGCATTCAGCATGACGCCTGACACAAGTACATATGTTTCCTTCCTCTTTTCCAATCACTTTAGTCATCCTTTTCTTAATCTTTTTTTTAAATTATATTATAAACAGATTTCCAGGTCTGAATTACTGACATTTTTATTTTGAAAGTTTCCTACTATATCCTTTTAATGAAATAATAACTACTAATACTTTCTCTGACACATAGAGTATCCATCATAAAACTCAAAATATATCTGGGGAACACCAAAATCAACTCTCTCCGGCTTGTGGGCCAAGCCCTATTCCCACATTAAGAGCCATGACTGGATGAGGTGTTATTCTACTCATCAGGAAAACAGAACAGTCATAGCACTGATAATGAGAATGATATTAAAACTAGTCACATAAGGCTAATAATAGAAGAGTATTCATAAGTGATATTCAGAGAACACAGGGCACAGTGGAGACAGCCCTGGTCTTGAAAAAAGAAAGAACCTGGTGGGGGGGGAGAGCACTCAACTTTTTGTGTTCCAGGAAACTCTCTTAAGTCGACAAGTTGTAAGAAAGGTAGCCCCCATCTTTGGCAGAGGGAATCTCCTCATCTGGGAGTACCCAATAGCCATGGAAGTACAGATTCTGCTCCCATCCCAGCCTAACGTTAACATGAGGCCCTTCAAACAGAAGTCTGTTCACCACATGTGTCAGGCCCTGTGCCCAGGAGAGTCATCTGATTTCATGCTCACAACGGCGACCTGAAGGGATATTTGCTTCCAAAAACAAACCAACCCAGCGGCTGGCGTGTGGAGGAGGCTGGAAATCTCTCCACAATCATCCCAGGGACTTTAATGGAAATCACATTTAACTAAAAAGCTCCAAACAGGTTACACTCCTCCACAAACCCCAAGTCAGGGGACAGTAACAATCAATTAATGTGAACAATCCAGCAAATGAAAATTACATGTGGCAGAGAAACGATTCAACTTCTGAAGACAGCTTGGATATCTTCTTTCAAAGAACTTGTTTAACAATTATCCAACTGTTAAGTAACCACAATAACAATGTTTTCTTTGCAATTTCTTTCTTCTGAAAGATTGGAGACCGAGAACAAACACGTTCTCATTACAAGGAGATAAATAGATCAGAAGATCAAAGAATCATGGATTTAAAGTCGGAAGGAATCGTAGCCACCATCTGGCAAGAATGCTTATAAAACCCATTTTCCAGCTAAGAAAACAGAGGCAAGCATCTCTCCTCTTTCCCAAGGCAGTGTCCCAGCTGTGCATTCTGCACATGGTGGACCTCATCAGCTTAACCTCCCACTTGACCAATCAGAAGAGCAAGTATTCAGATATTTAAAGGTCATTCACCAGTTTGAGTTAAGCAAACTCCATGGCAGAAATGTTCATTCTCCCCTTTGTGATTTTGTGTCCTGGCTGTGCCCTAAATGGGCTAGACCTCAAGGCAGGGGAAAGGGTTTGAGAGCACTTACTCATTCTTCACAAAGGCCGTTTTATTGATAGTCTCCACAACGTCTCGGAAGAGGATCTTTGAAGTGAGGGTATAACCATGGTGGACCACTGGCTCTCCATCTGGACCATCCCAACAGTCAACTGTTAAAGCAAACACATGTTTAATTCGACGTGCATTTATTAAGCACCTATCATGTGTCAGGGACTAAGAATGAAAGGAGAAACAAAATCAGCCCTGTCCTCAAGGAATTTACATTCTACCTGCCACTCAATGATTTTTAGGGAACCTTCCCTTGGAAACCTACATTTTGTTCTATTCAAAGTTTTCAGTGGGAGATGGTATGCCCATTGTTATGAAATAGGACCTAAGGTAACTTGGTGCCTCAGGAGAGAAAGTTATGTTTTAGGAAGATTTATTAGCCCAAAATAATTAAATATGATAATTTAACTTAATGTGGCACTTCATGCTCACAAAAGGGATCTGGCAAGCCAGATCAGAGAGAAAAACCATCTCTGAAGCTGGTCAATGATCCAGTTGAGCTTTGATTGCTAAAATACGATCTGCAGAATCTCATGTCTCCAGGGACCAGTAGCATTTTTCGCCAATAAGAATCTCCTTCAAATAAATGGCAGGAATTTTGGGCTAAACATTGTTGTTCTTTTGGTGTTTTTCTCACAGTCACAGCCTCTGTTACTTCTCATGACTCAGCATTTTCTTATATCATTGATTCAATGTAGCTCTAATAAATATACAACATATATATCAAGGCACCTTGACATAGTACATGGAGCACTGGTCTTAGAATCAGAAAAACCTGGGTTTAAATCCCAATTCTGACATTCAGTAACCATGCAACCTGGGGTAGGTCACTTGGCATAACACAAACACCACCACAGATTAATGTTGTGGCTCTATTTAACCATGGATGCGTTGCAATCTTGATTTCTGAAGAGTGTTCTCAAACCAGGAATTCTGCACACTGATTTATCCATGTTGTGTTTACTCTGGTTTTCATGCCTTTGCTGGCTTCTCTTCCACCTGACCCTAAGAGAACAATGTTCTCCCAAGACTTCGTCCTCAGTGCTCTGCTTTTTCTTCCCCTCACTCCCTCAGCAAGCTGATTTAAGTCTCATGGCTTCAACTAACCTCCTCTCCAGAAGCCTCTCAGATTCATTTTTTACCCCTGACTTGCCCACAGGCTCTCTCTATGCAGACGTCCTGCCGTTGTTTCAAACTCATAAAGTGCAAAAGTTAATTCATCTCTTCCTCAAGAGCCTTGGGGATAACACTGCCCTCCAGACCACTGGTCCTGCTTCCAGCTCAGCCAACGGTAGCCCCAAAGCCATCACAGAGGGAAGAAATCCCTGGGGACAAGAGGCTGCCTTTCTTAACAACCACAAAACCACTCATTCTGCTTCCGGGCCAGACCCTGCAGCCATAATCCTAGGAAGCAATCCTTGTAGAGATGCAACCTAGTAACTGTTTTTCTGAGATGAAGCCACAGTCACTGAAGACCAAGAAAAGGAAATTCTCACCACCAGTCCTTGGAACGGTCAAATGGTTCAACATCAGAATCTGATGTGATTTTTATCAATGGAAATGCCATTAAATGATGCTTTACCACTGAAACCTATGAACCAAGGGACGTTTCCTTCAGACTTGTAGCTGAAACCTTCTAAATGTGTTGTCTCTCCCATTCAAATGGAAGCCACTCGAGAACGGGAAATGTCTGACTTTTCTATTTGTATCCCCAATGCTCTTCTTTTCCATTTGTTTTAATTCATTCATTCTTCTTCCTAACTGGCTTCCCTCCCCCCACCCCCCAACTACTTTGCTTTGTCCGTGGCACAAACACTCTCCCTGTGTCTCAGTCTAGGAATTTTGAAATCACCTTTAGCTCTTAACTCTCCTTTATCCCTTGGATTAAATCACCAACTCTCATCATCTAGCCCTTCAGTAAACCTCTCAGGTTCTTCTTTCCTCTCTGTTTAACCTGCTACTACTCTAGTCTAATTTCTCACACTTCCCAAATGTAGATTACTGCAACAAATTCTGAGCTTGTCTTCTTTCTTCTATGTGGCTATTGGACCAATTTCCTGAGGTCTACTACTCTTACCACTCTCTCAGAGTGGCTTGCTAGAGTTGGAAGGGACCTCAAAAGCCACCTAATCCGTGAATTGGACCCCCTCCATGTCAGATCTAAACTTCTCCACCAGGAAGTTTCATGCTCATCCATGATAATGGCCCTACCCTAAATACAGAACCTCATTTCCCATTGCTTCCCAAAATACAACCTTAGCAGGCAGTTAAACTTAGTGACTCTTTCCAAACAAATAGAGGACTTTTAGTTTATGTTTCTGCCTTCTCAGTTTTGTTCGCCTACTTGCAACAGGCTGGTCCTTTCTATTTAGGTAAACAGTGCTCATTCTTTTTTTTGTTTGTTTGTTTGTTTGTTTTTTGGTTTTAGGCAATTGGAGTTAAGTGACTTGCCCAGGGTCACACAGCTAGTAAATGTCAAGTATTTGGTCTGAGGCTGGATTTGAACTCAGGTCTTCCTGTCTTCAGGGCCAGCACTCTATCCACTGCACCACCTAGCTGCCCTACACAGTGCTCATTTTTCAAAAGTCAGCTCAAGTCCCCTGTTTTCGAGTGACACTCCCCCAACCACTTCTGCTCCATCATCAAATCTGCACAGATTAAATAATAGAAGGGTACCATTAATTGGTACCTAGATGCTACTAGAGTGTAGCCCTCTTGAGAACAGGGTTCTTGTCTTATGCTTAGCTGGATTTCCCACAATGTCCGACTGTCCTGAGCACAAAGGATTTATTCTATCAACAGAGTACATTTAATAACTATTTGTGAATGGATTTCATATTCCCTCATGGAGGCTCTATGTTCAAGTGCCATGTCTTTGCCTCCAACATTTTTCAAAATTTTCTCCACAACCAGAGTTGTGTCTCACCCCAAAAGCTATCAGTTTTCAGAATTTCTCATAAAATCATAGGTTCAGACCTAGATGGGGCCTTATCGGTCATCTGGTTTCCCATTTTGCAAAATAGGAATATCTGAAGCCCGGAAGGGTCAAGGTCACGTGGCCAATAAGTGATGAAGCCAGCATTTGAACCCACGTCTTCTGACTCAAAAGCCAGGGTTCTTTCCACTACACCACATTACATCACAACAAACAAATGAAAAACTTAAAGAAAATCGCCTGCTTTCAAGGGCAATAGTAAGAGAAGGATGAAAGTAATGCTAAAGAATGAAGATGCCACTGAGAAATGTAAACAATTTTAGATATCATTTGAGAAGATTGTATGGCAGCTTTGAGACTACAAAGAAGTAAAATTTGTCAAAGCTACGGTCTTTAGATAAAAGCCCTGGTTTATCTGCTCTCCTCAGATTTAATGCCCCCTTTAAAAATTTGATCGTTTTTTTTTCTGGGTATTGTTGTAAAAAGAATTGAAGAGAAATCTTCAAGGCCCAATGACCATAATTTTAGTAACTCACATCCAGAGGGGTGCCTAGAGCAGAACAAAGATTCATGGAGAACTCATATGAAAAACCACTAAGGTCAATAAATGGCTGTCCAAATGTGTCATTGCATAAGGTTGCTAATAACAGTTTTTAATGCCTATAAACTAGTGAAAGAGTTTGGGTATGAATAAACAGAGTACAGGCTGGACTTGAGAATCCTGGATTCTGTGGTGTTCACCTGTACAGCATACTTCTATTTGATTGTCTATAAAATGGGGGCAACAGTTATATACAGAATCCTGAATGTGGAGTCAAGAAGATGAGGCTTGAATCCCACCTCAGACACTAACTAGCTGTATAAATCTGGGCTGTGTGAACACTGAGCAGCCCTGAAAGCTTCTCTGGGCCTCTCACTAAGATTCCTCCTAACACTAAATCTGTGTTCTTTTTAACCTTAAGGACTAAAAGGACCTAATCTCCTCAAAGTAGAATAGCCTTTGGGTCTCATGTTTATCCATTGTTGAATCATGTCATAGCAGAGGCAGGAAGGCTCACAGCAAATTGGCCAGGGACTTTGGATCTTTCTCATCTCGACTGCCAACTTCTCATGATGGAACTGTGAGATGGACATTTCCAGATACATGCCCAGAAATGACAGCAAAGGTGCTGAAACAGCTTTTAAAGATTATGTCAGTATCAGCCCCATCTTAAGAACATTAATCCCTTGAACAGAACATCCTTATTTCTCAAACGGTCCTGGCTAAAAGGCAGGGCCAGGTGAAATAAGGGTATCAGCTCAATATGCTGACAAGATGGCTCTACTACAGTAGCTTCTTATCAGCCCTCCCCAAGAGGCCATAAATATCTGATTAAAGAAGCGACTTCAGCTGGACAAATGGAAATAGAAAACAGCACAGGACTGAAATAAAGATTGGGAAATGCAGGTTTGGGGTTTTTTCTACCAATCATGAACAGCGTGAAGCAGCTGTCCAAAACCATCCTTCTCTTACTCAGTAATTACCTTACTCCACTGCACTCCCACCATTATGGGAGACCATCTGAGGCACCTGGAATTTATAGTCTCTGCCTGGCTATGTTACATAAATTAGGCTTTTAAAATAGCAACTGCAACTGTTAAAATAATAATAATAAAACCAGGTAACTTTGTATACACATGGATGGAAAACACCACTAGATGCCTTTTGGACTTTTCTGCCATAAGCTATAAGCAGAGGTCATACTAGACCAGAGGATCTTAACCTGTGGTCTTTGACCTTGGCTTTATTTTTTTAAAGTCATTTGATAGAATATTTTGGTATAACTGGTTTCCTTATATTCTTATATATTTTATTTTAAAATCTGATTCTGAAAAGGGACCTGAAGACTTCATCTTTGCTGATTGCCAAAGGGGTTCAGAATACAATACTGGTTAAAAAGGTAGTTCCAGGACCCTGGGTTAAGGAATCCTGAGCTAGATCATCTATGTCTAGCTATTTAAGTATACAAGACAAAGAGGAAGTTAAGATCAGGAATTTTGAAGGAAAGGGATAGGGAAGGAAATTTCAAGGGTCTGGGCAGGGTCTGTCTGCATCAGGGGTGCTTTGACCCACAGAGAGTTGGGCCCAGAAGTACTGGGCACCTGTGCCATAGGAAAGAGAGGGCAGAAGGTAAGTAATTTGGCCTAAGGTTGATAACCATCCATCCTAAACTCATCCTCTGTGCCACCTCTGCTATTAACACCATAGGGCACCAGTGCCTGGCAGGAACAGTATGGGCCATGTCCTCTTCAAATATTCAACTAATGATAATGATGGCCAGAGTCAGTTTCTATGCATTCACTAGAGACTTGCTAGGTGGACAAATTAGTCTAAAGATCTCTTAGGCTAAAAGGTTTTTTTAAACTTCTTTCAATAGTTTATAAACTACATTTTCTTGCTCAAAGTAATTTCAGAGGAACATAGGATCCCATGGTATTTCCCCATATCTTGTGTTTACATCATCTCAGATCTAAAGTTGGAAGGGACCCCAGAGATCGTGTAGCCCAAACCCCTCATTTTACAGATTTTAATGATGAGGCCTAGAGACATTCAGTGTCTTGTCCAAGGTCCCACAGGTCCTAGGCATCAGAAATGGGATGCGAATCCGAGTCCACACCACAGAACCTAAACGTCCCTGTTTCCTTTATGTCCCTCTATATGAAGCACCATTTGTCTGAGGGAGTCCAGTTCCCAGAGAGTCAGAACCTGGCTTACTATTACTACAAGAAATGACAAGCATTAAGTCAGTGAAACAGAGGAAAACTTGTCAGAGGTGATGCAGAGGAAAGAAAGCTGAGCAAAAGGACATGATACAAATGACTACAGCAACACAAATAAGACAAAATTAAAAGGCAACACAACTCAGGTCCAGCACAAATGACTAAAATTAAAGGACATGCCCCCTTTCAGAGAGGGAACTTCAGACATGGAAAGTGATATATATTATCAATGGCAATCACTCTGCTGGATAGCCTCGTTTGACTCTTTTTAGGAATTCGAGTTAGAGTCAGAATTCAGGTTAGGGTCGGGAGGGTAAGGGTTCTTTAGAGTCAGAATTACAGTTGATTGCATTTTGGCCTTTTTGGGGGGGGAGGAAGTGTGCAGTGTGACAACACAGTGCATCATTTTTTAGAAATATTTACCAACTGACTGAAGAAAAAAAACAATAAGAAGAGGTAAATATAAAGAACCACCACCACAAAGCCTGAAAACTAAATACTCTGTAAATAGAATGACCAAGGTTACTCCCAAAGGAGGGATGACAAATGGATTTCCCTTTGCAAAGGGAGACTAGCACAGAGGAAAATGCACTATCTTAGAGGCAGAGGACCTGGGTTTACATCCTGCCAATGAGGCTGAGTCCTTGTGTTTGGCACTAGACGACTGCAGGAGCTTTTACATTTTTTGTCTTATTTGATCCTCACAACCATCCTATAGGATCCTGCATTTTACAGTTGAGAAAACTGAGGCTGTGAAACGTTACCCTCACAGCTTGGCAGTGTGTCAGACAGGATCTGAGCTTGGATCTTACCAACCCCAAGTCCAGCACTCTAGTCTACCACCTAGCTGCATGTAATCTCTCTCAGCCTCAGTTTCCTCAGCTGTAAACTGAGGAAGGTAGATAAGATGGTGTCTGAGATCCCTCCCGGTTCCAGATCTCTGGTGCTGTGACCATAGTGGTAGAATGCCACGTCTGCTATCGAATTTGGTTAACATGTTGGCTAGTTTTGTGACCCTGCTTTTCGCATCTCTAGGAATGATTCCCTGGGTAAAGGAAGAGAGGTGGACGCATTCCCAAATAAAAATGAAGTAGGAATAAAAAATGTCAATTTTTTTAAAAAAAGTAAATTTTAAACATTTTAAAGCAAAGTAATGTGGTGCAGTAGAGTGCAGGGGTTTAGAGTTTGGAAGACCAGCCCCAGACACTTCCTAGCTGTATCAACATGGGCAAGTTACTTAACCTCTGTTTGCCTCCATTTCCTTATCTGTATAATGGGGATTATAACAGCCCCTAGCTCCCAGGGTTGTTGTAGAGGACCGAATGAAGTAATAACTGTAAAGCCCTCAGCACAGTGCCGGGCACATTATTGCTATTCAGCCATGTAGTCATGTCCGACTCTACGTGATCCCATGGACTTTTTGCCATGGAGCTTTCTTGACAATTGTGGGGTTTTCTTAGCCTGGCACAAAGTGCCATATAAATGTCAGCTATTAGTAGTAGTAGTAGTAGTATTACATATTAGTCTTTTAGTTCTGTATCCACAGGAACAAGCGTGAGCCAAGCTACCTTCCACACAGCGACAGCCTTCTTGCAGCACGCGGGCATACATGTCCACCCTGGACTGAGAGAGGAGCTGGTCACCAGTCAGGTACGTGTTGTGAGAGGAGGCAATGTAATAGTTGCAGAGGGGTTGGTCCATGTCTTGGAACACTTCAGAGTGCAAGGGGTTAAAGACATCACAGGCAGGACTCCTCATGAAGTTTGTAAAACCTTTCAAGGAAAGAGACAAGAAAGATTCAGACTTTAATATGATACGTCAGAGTACCAGACACGGAAAATAGAAATTGGTACTGAATTCAGTCCATTCCTGCAGCAAGCCCATGATGAGATGTTATCCTTTTATTAACCATCGATCACGTCACCATCTGAGAATTAGGCAACATCTTTTCTTCCAAAATAACTAAGGCATTTTCTTGCCAATAATCTCTCTGGGGCCCCGGTGCTGTTTCCTTATCAGTGAAAATAAGAACTAGCTGAAATCTCAGGTCCCTTCCAACTCTACATGTACGACCTAGTGATCTCATATACCTTAGGAACACCCTCTAAAAAGCATGTGGGGGCGCCTTTTTGTAGATGGAAAAGCTGAGGCATCACAAACAGAGGTTTGTCCCAGGTCAAAAATCCAAGTCAGTCACAGAAAACTGCAATATTACCATATTTGGGGGGATGAGTTAAGTTCGTAAAAGCTAGAAGTTTCGTGTATTTTTTTTATAAAAAAAACTTTGATTTAAACTAATACAATACTGCAGAGAAAGTCTTTCAATGCACACTTAAGCAAAGCTAATACAATAGGGACAATGAGACTAAAATGAATTTTTGTCCATTCCATTGTTTATCTCTGTGGACATCTTTACAACCAACAGCATAGTAGTAATTATGACGATTGTGACTGAAATAATGAGCACTGTCAGGAGATAATTTGAGGCTGACAAGCTGGATCTACTCTTGGGCAGTCTTATGCCCAAGCAGACCCATTAGAAATGCAGGCTGTGATGCCCTGAATACACAATAGTTGATACACAGTGCATGTTATTTCTTGTGTCTTGTGCTTACAGACTATTGTGTATGGCAAGAAGCATAAATGACAGATTCACTTCAACTTAATTCAAAGAAGATTTGTTAGTTACCTACTATGTGCAAGGAACTACACAAAACATGATATGGGGACAGGACACTGGGCTATAAAGACAAAAAAAAAATAACCCTGTCCTCAATAATCTCAAATTTTAACATAGTAGGAGCATTAAATTATGCCCATAGTAGCAAAGTACGATGCCTGGCAACAAAGAGGCACTCAAATAACATCAGTGGAGCAAAAATTAGTTCCTGCATACCAATATAAAACAATTTTAGGGGTCTTTTTCTGCACAATCAAGAAATACGCCAGAGAGCTGCGCACAGAGAAATCTAATGAGAAATCAAACCCAATTGGACACATATAATTCGGAAGCCACAAGGAGGCAGGCCAGTCTACTACAGTACAATCGAGGCAGTCTGTTGATGGTAAAGAAAAAGCCAAAGCAACCCTGGGAAAACTTACCCATCTCATTTTAGTCATCATTTTATCTCTGCTTTCCTTTACAATTAGTTTTTCTCAATAGAAAAAAACCCCTTAAAATTACATGGGTACAATTAGATGATTTATGATCAACTGAGTAGAAGGAACAGAGAAAAGGGAAATAGATGAAGTAATATGGTATATTAAGGAATACAGCCACTTAAAGAAACACAGCAACTGAGGCAAAGCATTTAGTAAAGATCAATGGATGCAGAAGTAAGCATGATATTTTCATCATAGTTAGCATCTAAATCTAATGCTTTAAGGTTTGAAGAGCACTTTAAAAATATTATCTCATTTGATTTTCACAACTCTGGGAGACAGGTGCTCTTATTATTCACATTTAAAGGACGGCCTACAAGAAGTTAACACAGGGTCACACAGCTAGTAAGTATCTGAGATTGGATTTGAACTCAGGTCTTCCTGATGTTGAGTCTAACACTCTATCCATCATACAACTTAGGATACTTCAGACCACTTGGAAAGAAAGAGGAAATAGATAAGAATTTTGGGAGATATACCAGGATGCTGACATGATGGCATGATATGATAACCACAGAGGGGATAAAAAGCCTGTGGGTTTAATTTCACTTCTTGTCAAAATTCCAGGATGTATTATTAAAGGGATAGTTCATGAACATCTAGAAGAGAACGCAGTGGTTACCAAGAAACAATCTGGCTTCATTCAGCAAGAACAGGTCATGCCAGAAGAACCCTACTTCCTTTTTTGACAGGACTACTGAACTGTCAGATAAGGAAAATGCTGTAGATGGAGTTTACCTGATTTTAGATCCAACAAAGTTTCCCATGCTGTTCCTGTAGAAAAGATGGAGAGATGTGGGCTAGACTATAATAACATGGTTTGATGAACTTGGAACTGGCTGAATCACCGGACCTGACAAGTAGTCATTAATAGCTCCCTGTCATCTTGGGAGGAGGTCTTAGAAAAGAGTGCCCCAAGGACCTGTTCTTGGCCTTGGGCTGGTTAACCTTTTGGTCAATGACTTGAATAAATACGCGACTGCTGTCTCTGAGTATCTGAAGGGCTGTCATATGGACGAGGAAATATTCTGTCCTGCTGTGTCCCCGAGGGCAGAACCAGGAGCAACGAGTGGGAAAGGTAAAAAGAAGATTTAGATTTGAAGTCAGGAAAAGCTTCCTAACAATTAGAGCTATAGAAAAGTGGACTAGGGTGGCAGCTAGGTGGCACAGTGGATAGAGTACCAGCCCTTACGTCAGGAGGACCTGAGTTCAAGTCCAGCCTCAGACCAAACACTTGATGCTTACTAGCTGTGTGACCCTGAGCAAGTCACTTAACCCCAATCACCTGAGGGAAAAAAAAGTAGACTGGGAAGCCTCAGGAAGCAGTTCTTTAACTCCAGAGGCCAAAAGGTGAAGCCTGACATAAAGGGGATTATTGTTCAGGGACAGATTGGATTAGATGGCCCCCTTCTAAATCTAAAATCTTGTGATACCAGCCAGAAAGCATGCGGACAAAGAGGATGTAAATTAGACAGAATGCTAAGGGTTAGGACGGACTCCAGAGAGAGCAGCCAGGGAGAGGATTGAAAAGGGGACTCTAACTGAGGCAGGAGCAGAAGCCAATGGTTCAAGATGCCCTACGAGAACAACAGCAACTTGATTCTGCATCTTCTATTGAGAGAAGTTGGTCCCATGTCGGACATCTCCAGCCTTATCCCACTTGAGAGAGAGAAGGCAGCAGCTGCTGAATTTGAGAGAAGCAGCCATATAAGCACTCGGGTCTCCTTCATCTAGCAGTTTTTCCTTTCAGAATAATTCACCACTCTTTATGAGTTGGAAAAGTCAATGAACTTTCCAAAAAGAGTAATTTACAACATGTTCAAACACTGCCTTGGACGTTTTAAAGGTATAATGACAAAGATGACAAATGGATGGGGTTAAGGAGGAAGGTTCCGACTGGTACCACAAAGGTAAAAGCCATAAGTCATCAGTTTATGACATCTGCTTTGAGATGTTCCTGCAAAATGGCCAAGCTAGTGATCATTCCCCTAAAATGGAGGAAAGAAAGGCTCATAGAAAATACAGAGAGAGAGAGAGAGAGAGAGAGAGAGAGAGAGATTGAAAGAGAAAGAGACAGAGAGAGAGACCAGAGAAATGAACAAATTAAAGAGTCTAACACAATGAATCAATACTGTCAGGTAAAAGAAGGGATATTATGAGGCTCAAATGAGGTAATGAATATAAAGCACCTTGCAAATCTTAAAACATTATCCAAATTCCAGTTATTATTATTATTATTATCATTATTATTAGCCTCTAATGGGTGGTGACTTCATTCCCTTAACTTTTTACTGCACCTCTTTTGAGCTTAGGCAATGTTTATAGAGCAATACAAGGGTGTACTGGTAAAGGCTGAACTGGCCACTGGTGGGGTAAAATGTATGCACATGCTTTTAAATTTAATCTCCATTATTAATATTTCCTTAAATCTAGACAATCAGCAAAAGAAATGATTCCCCGATTCGTAACATGGCCAGTTCCTGAGACGTAAATGCTCCCCCTCCCAAAACTTAACAATCAGCTAGCAACTAGGTAGAGCTAGCTCCAGTAAAAGAAAGCCAGGAGAAACCTCTTGAAGGAACAAGATGGACCCAATCCTCAGATTCCCTGAAGACAGGATGGACCTTCAGAGTGGTTTACAAAATAAAAACACAGCACAACTCTGTAAGAGATATGAATGAAGACCTGACATGAATTGAAGAAGAATGCTTGCCAACTTTAGGGTCTTCTCTAGGGTGAAGGCTTCTTTCCAGGTACTGGTGTCAGTTTAATATCATCAAATATAACAAGAAATCGATGTTTAGAATCTAAAGATGTTTTACCTTCTATGCCAAGGACATTTTTCTCCTTATTTTCTTCTGAAACTTCAAACTTCTTTATGATGTCAAGACAATATTCTGGTGTCACATTCGTCATCTAAACCAAAAAGACAGTGTTAATGCAGCCTCTATGAGGTTTTGTTATCTGATGAAAGTGTCAAAATACAAGGGACCTTAAGCTCCACATGAAATGTTGGCAAACACCAGTGGCTCTGGAATAGAAAGGAAAAGATGAATCATACATTCCTAAAATGATATTTCTCAGGGGTTTTTTTCAAGATCTTCACAAGGTACATGATTTTAACTTACCTTGTTCAGGTATGGGTCAGAGCAGATGACCTCCAAGCTCCCTAACAACTCAGATTCTATGAACTCCAGCTTGAATATGAAACTGGCTTGAATGTCATGCCAATTCCACCTATCCACCATGGAACTCACCATTGTTCCCTTAGGCTTGCTCTTCCTTCAGACTTTCCAGGGCTTCCTCCTGCCCCCAATCATCTAGGTATGAAATTTCAGGGATGAGCTCAACTCTATCTTCCCCTTTACCTCCATAAGTCATCAGTTACCCTATCTTATTTCTACCTCCACAATATCATTTGCATCTTTACCTTCCTTCTCTCTAGACACAGGGCAACCACTTTTAATTCAAGCCCTCAACATTTTTCACCCAGATCACTGCAATGACCTACTAATTCTCCATGACACCATTCTCTCCCCTTCCCAATCCATCCGTCCAATATAGTTGTCAAAAATCACCTTGCTAAGGCACAGCTCCAACCAGCCTCAAAAATGCTTCAGTGGCTCCCCAGTGACTCCAGGTTAAACATACACACACACAAACACACACACACACACACACACACACACACACACACACACACACAAAATCTCCTCAGCCTGGTGTTTAAGGTCTTCTGTTGTTTGGTACTGACCTACCTTTATATGGACTATTTCTGCCCGACCTGTAGTAGAGCTTTCCAAGCTTGCATTGGTCTGATCAGCCAGTTGGACACACTGTACATTGACCCCAACCTAGTGATGTCATTCTGGGTCTCTTTGATCGCAGAGGTCAACAACCACCCTTTATCACAGTTTCACCTTACGTGGCTTCATGAGAACTCTGCATTCCCAACAAACAGGACTCTCAGTATCCCCTCTCCTACCTCCATTCTTTTGCTGTGCCCCATGCCAAGAATGCACTGCCATCTCAGCTCCACTTTTCAAAATCATTTTCTTCCTTCAAGACTTCAAACTAGGGTTCTACCTTGTCCATGAGATCTCTGTTCCCCCAATTTATGCTTTTCCTTCTTAAATTACTCTGAATTTACATAACTGTACATGCTGCATCTGCCCCCACAGCCAGGTGGCACAGTAGACAGAGTGATGCATAAGGAGTCAGAAAGATCTGAGTTCAAATCTGGCTTCAGACACTTAGTAGATGTTTGACCGTGGGCAAGTCACCCTCTGATGGCCTCAGTTTTCTCAAAAGTAAAACGGTGATAAGAGCACTTATCTCCCAAGGTTTTTTGTGAGGATCAAATGAGATAGAATTCTTTAAGCACTTGCGAACTTTGAAGCGTTACATAAATTCAAGTCATCGCCATCATCATCATCATCATCACTAAATGGAAGTAGGGATTGTTGGTTTTTGTCTTTGTAACTTAGCATCTAGCAAAATTCATTCCGGAGAGTAGGTACTTAATTACTGTTTGTTAAGCTCAATCAGCTAGCCTGTCTTTCTAAACAACCTTTCAGATATAACCCAGGCTGCTTGCCAAAGAACTACAAAGATTCTCCAGCCTATATACTTATCTCATGAGACAAGTGTTCGCTAAGTGTAGACACGAGTAAAATCACATCATAATTCTGTACTGAGCTGTCAGAAGGCATTATTTGTTCCAGGATAGGGCATCTAGCTGGAAGATCAAATGTCCCATTGAAAACAAGACCCAAATTTATTGCTCAGAAGTAAGGGAGGGAAAGGGGGGAAACATTCTCCATACAATGTGTGTGCTTGTATGTATGTGTATGTATATGTGTGGAAATACATGTATGTATGTGTGTATATGTATGTACACACACACACATATATACATATATATATATATATATATATATATATATATATATATGCTCAGTGCTTAATGTGATTGGCACATACTAGGCATTTACATGCTTGCTTGCTGACTGACTTGATTTGGAGACAGGCTATAGACCTACAAACTCAAGTCATAATATATTGAAACATTTTTTTACTTGTAATTTTAGGCCAACAAGACTAGCAACAAAGTTATTCATTCTACTCAGAGGACAGAATCCACATTTCTGGAAATCACTATATAAATATGGCAGCCTTCCAGTTGCCGATACATACATACCTGGCACTTTAAATTAATAAAAGAGAAAGTCCAAAGGCCTAGTGGCAAGCCCCTGTGGAGAATTAATGGAAGGATATGGAGGAGCAGAATGGAGGATGAGATGGCACAGGTGGGCTGCAGTCAGTGCCCCCACGTCAATGACATCACACATCCCTTGACGTATAAAAAGTGAACAAAATACAGGGTGTCCCCAAAGTCTGGGTGTTGTTTTAAGCTTCAATTAAAGAGCTATTAAACAGCTTCCCAGCTTAAAATAGAACCCAGACTTGGGGACACCCATACCATATCTAGAAATGTGTTCTAGGTGATCAGTGCTCTGGAATCACAGCTGGCCTTTGTAGCAATCAGAGTTCTTAGGTCTTCCCAAGTTCTTTGTCTTTCCAATGTTGTCTTTATTATATACATTGTTCTCCTGGTTCTGCTCACTGCCATCTGCATATTTGTTACAGGGTTTTGTTTTTCTCTTTTTTACTGATGGGAGAAGGAGAGAGTAGATGAGGGCGGGGGGAACAAGAACTTATTAAGTACCCACTACATCCTTGGTACTTCACAGACATCTTGCTTGATCTTCACAATAACCCTGGGAGGGTAGTGCAATTGTGATCCTCACTTTAGTTGAGGAAACTGAAACCTTGAGATTTTAAATAGCTTGTCACGTAACTAATGAGTGGCTGAAGCTGGATTTGAACTCAAGTCTTCTGGATTCCAGGCCAAGTGCTCTATGCACTGTGCTACCCAAATAGGAAGAAGATAAAATAAATTCTTGCTAATTAAAAATATATATTTCTTTAAAAAGGTAATAAAAACCAAGGACTTCCTCGCATAAAGAAGTGTGAAATAAATGTAATTCGAGTCAATGATAGGCGCCCTTTTTATTTATTGCTCTCGTCAGGACTAGTAATATCACTGACCCAAGCACCCAGGTGAATTTCTTGGGCTATGGCATTAACATAAAGCAGTAACCCCTAACCTCTGAGTGACTCCACATCTGATGTTGCTGTGGTTTTGTGTCCTGCTCCCCTAGACCTTCCTAAGCACACTACTCGGCATTTCAAAGGTTAATTCAGAGTCATTTTGTTCTTCAAATTTCATAGCATCCCTTGAAGTATCCAAGTTAGCCAAGATAGCCTGGATTGATAGGAAACCAGACAACGAGGAGGCTTCGCAGTAAAGAGTACATTGAATTCTTCACGATTATCTGCATGGCCTCAGGTCCTCAAACAACCTCTAAACCAGACGGCTAAGTGTACTTTCATCTTCTGGGGATGTTTTGGTGACCATGCATCAGAATTACAACAAAGACTAAGAAACCATGACGACATGACCAATGGCCTCCCAAAGTCAGCACTCTTCTCACCACCCCACATTGTGTCTTCGTTATGAGCAATCCAGTCAGTCAATAAACATTAATTAGGTGCCTACTGTTTGTGCCAAGCACTGTTCCACCAATGTGGATGGCAGTGTCGAAAGCTAACTCCAGCATCCTCCAAACTCCAAACCTGCTGCAAGCTCTCAGCCCCCAGACTTCACTTAACATTTTAACACCATCTCAATAATGCAGAATATTTCCAACAGATGAAGAGAGAAATGACAAACAATTCTCTTGCTAAGGAGTGTGGACAACTTTATTAACACACTGAGGCAGCTCATCTTAACTTCACAAGCAGAGCAGTGTTATTGATCCAATTTTCAAATGAATGAGAAATGAATAGAAATAATCCCTCTCCCAGACAACAAGTATGTCTAACCCTCTCCCCAACTCTTTCCCAGGGAGTTTTCATCAGACTTGGCTGGACTCTGAATCCCAAATCACATCACGGTCAGGTTTAAGAGGCTTTCTTCGGCCCAGTGACATTGGAGTGTCAATACAGGCTCAGTTAGCACTCATATGAGGAAGAATGACTCACATTTATATTGCACATAGAGGTTTGCAAAGTGCTTTCCTCAGAACAACCCCGGTGGGAGGAAGGTGGGCCAAGGATTATTGTCCTCATTTTACAAATTAGGAAAGTAAAGCTGTAAGATGTGAGGTATCTTGTGAGTAAGTAAACACAAGGCAGGATTCGAACCCAGGTTTCCTGACTCAACATCCAGCACCCTCCTCTGCACCTGGCTGCCTCTCAGGGGCTGTATTTGTATTATAATTTAAATTTTGCAAAAGGCTTTATATTAATTACCCCATTTGACCTGTACAATAACCCTGAAGTAGATACTAGGGATATTCTTCTCCTCTATTTTACAGATGAAGAAACAGGCTCAGGGAGGTTTATCCTTATTCCTGGTCACAGAACCAGTAAATGTTGGAGGTAGGATCCACCCTACATCTTTCCCGCCTCCAAGTGTGCTCCTTTCCTTCCAGTTATACCAAGCCACAGAGAAAATGGCCTTTGAAAGGCTGCTTGATGCCTGCAGAGTCATAGAGAAAAAAGACTGAGAAAATATAAGGAGAAAATGCCTAGAGCTCCAAGAAAGGTGTTCAAAGCAATGTCCTGATCAAGAGGAAAGTACAGGAAAAGTCCCATCAACAAGAGTCATTGATACCATGGGAAGCTTTGTTAGGAAAGGAGCTGGAAACAGCTTTAAGGGGGAGAGGAGCTGGAGAAAGGACAGGAAAGGATGGTGACCCTCTGGGACCATTCTGGATTTACTTGAGGGCAATAAAGGAGGAATGGGAGAGGGTAAAGGCAATGATTGTCCTTGGAGCAGAAAAACTGAG